TTTTTTTGCAAGCAATTTCTCATAATTAATTTCTGTGTGTTGTTTTCACAAATGTATTCATTTTAAAGCTCATTTTCCCCTCATATATGCATTTTGTTTTTTGCAAACATTGCTTGGATAACGTCATTGCAAATTATGGATAACTGCACATTTCGAAAGGTTCTGCTTTGGTTCTCATTTTGTTTCAGAAAGCGCAAATTTGATCAATTCAACTTTAACTGCGAACTGAATAAAATCTCTCCCACACCCCTAGCTGGGAGAGAACCCCACTGAAGTTGGCCTTATTTTTGCCTAGACAAGTGCTGATAAACTTTGGTTTCTTTCTTTGTAATTAATAATTTGAGTTCAAAGAAAAAATAATTCCCACATATTGGAACAAAGCAATGAAATTAAACATAGTTTTTGAGGATAGGGTGTAAGTGTTAAAATTAACTGATATTTGTACAGAATTGCTAGGTGGCAGGGATTCTCTCAGTTGCTGCCCCCCCAAGACCACATTGTCTCCCCATCCCTTGCCGGGCTTCTGTGCCTTTAACTAGTTTTGTGATAGGCACCTATTCAGTGGATGATGGCTTCTATTTTGATTAATGACACAAAACTGCTACCCTTCGATGGCTGCAAGTGGCTTTTGAATTTTTCAGAATGGGAGACACTTGCCCAAGAAAGTGCAGCGATTTTAAAATAGCACTGTGAACTTTCAATCAACGCAAAAATATTTTGAGCACACTTTGTCTTTTCCAATCCTTCAGGTGATAGGCTATGCTGCATTTTCCATTAATAAAGGATGCGTCCAGAAAGACACCTCATTTTTCTTCATGAAGTGGCCTTTAAAACCATGTTCCATTGTGGATAACTTTGCTCTAGATTGGTCTGCTTGTGTGTACAGCAAACTGCTCCAGATTGGGACAGGGATCCTTATCTGCCTCAGAGAGATCCTCATATATGGACAGGTGTGCCACAGGCAGTGATGGGCCAATGCCCATGGGACTTACCTCAGGGGGTAGAGGTGTCCCCTCTTCTGGGATGCTATTGGGGGCAGATAGATGGTGGATAGATGGTGGAAGCAGCCTCGTGAGAGGCAGGAAACTGAAGATCCCCCAGTGTGAGAGGCTGGGAAAGGAAAGCTCCCAGGTGAGAGCTGGGAGGGCCTGTCATTTTCTGTGGGTGGCTGGGATTAATAGTTACCATATGTTCCAGCGTACAAGATGACTTTTTATCCCTGGAAAATCACCCCAAATGTCGGGGGTTGTCTTATACGCCAGGTATACGCATTGGGAAGGAGGAGAGGGAGCCGGTGAGCAGAGGCACCCCTTCTGCTGTCGTTCCTCTTCCCTCCCCACAGAAGGGGATACGGAAAGTCCTTCCGAGTGTGGCGCTTATCCGCCTGCCCGCCAAACGCCTTGCCTTGGGCTGCTGCTGCTGCGACAGCAGAGGCAGCAGAGGGGCGCACGCTCTGCCCCTGGTGGCACTCAAACGCTAAAACTCTAAAACTGAACAGCAAAAGTTTGGGGTCGTCTTATACACCCAGACGCCTATTACACCTACGGTACTTTGGCTAGAGAGAAGATTCTTCATTTGTGCACTATTCTTTTTATTTTAGAGAACCCGCTGCTGATTTTCTCTTCCCTTACTTTTTATGCTGTCTCTGTTGAGAATCTGTATTTTATGATCATCTGTATTCTACTATGCATTTCTTCTTCTTAATAATAAAAAATAATAATCTAGAGCTAGTGTGGTGCAGTGGTTAGAATGTCAAGGTAAGTTCTGGGATACCAGGATTCAAATCTCCCCTCAGCCCTGATGCTCATTGGGTGACCACGGGCCAGTACATCACCTAACCTACTTCTCAGAGCTGTTGTGAGGATAAAACGGGACAAGGAGGAAGAAGACCCATATATGCCACCTAGATCTCCTGGAGGAAATGTGGGCTACAAATGTAATATTTAATATTTATAATATAATATTCAGCAAGGACCAGATGCAAAACCTTGCTGGGGGGGGAGGGAAATGCTTTTTGTATCAGTCCTTTTACACCAGATATCAAACAGATAAACAACTTTTTGACTTTTAGAAGACATCTGCAGGTAGGCCTGTTCAAGGAAGTTTTTAATGGCTGATGTTTTATTGTGTTTTTAACATTTTGTTGGGAGCTGCCCAGAGTGGCTGGGACAGCCCAGTCAGATGGGTAGCATATAAATAATAAAAACAATTGTTGTTGTTGTTGTTGCCTGATTTTAGTCAAATGATGGCACCTCTCAGTACTGTAATCATCTTGTGCTTTTAAAGAACTAGACAAAAAAATTATCTTGCTGAACAGATTGTTTACTAAATGAATGAAATTCTTTTTCCGGTAGTTCAGAAACATCTTCTTGAAGTCAGGCACCACTGAATTCTTGAAAATTGCTCAACAACTGTGCCATTGTAACAGAATTTACTGGGCCTATGAATAGCATCAGGCACACGGTCTCTTTATAAAGATCCAGGAAAGCAAAGTCAGAAGAATGAAGATCGCAATGAATTTCTAAAATGACTTTGGGTGGATTTGTCTTTCCTGTAATTAAATTTACATGAAAGCCAAATGGAGGATGAACTTACAAACAGATCCAGCAGAATTCATCATCATCTGGTAATCCCAGAATTTGGCTTTCAGAATGAGAAGTTATGCAACACCCTGAAACATATTGAGGGACTCATTCACAAGATGATCTTCCAGTTAAACCTCAACATGAGATGAATGATAGGGCTGATAAAAAAAAATAGCATAAATCCACTGTACTCTGAAACAATTCCATTCATATCACTAAGTGAACCCATTGCTGTGGTCAGAAAAAGCAGGTGATCAGCCCTTTAGGACTGTATCATGTCTGAGTGCTTCTTAGCCAACAACAACAACAAAACAAAAACCCTAACTGCATATAGAAAATTAGCATGTTGGGGAGGTTAGAAAACCTGCATTGCTAGCTTTCCAAGAGCAAAGCGCTTTTGACATTAGGAGCAAACATCTGTTTATTTCCTATGGTGCTTCAGAAGATGAGTGTACCACTGGCTTTTCCTGAATGCGTATTTTTGCTCTTAGATCACAGGCTCATGGAGCTGCAAGGTCCTTAGTCAACCCCCATGAGATGCAGCATCTACAATATAGGATGTGATTATAGCATCTCTGACAGACGGCAAGCAACCTTTACTTCAATACCTAGTGAAGGGCAGTCCCCCACCTCCCAAGACAGCCTGATCCATGGCTAAACAGCTGTTACCACAAGGATGCTTCTGATCCTTTGCTGAAATCTAATTACCTTCCATTTCCATACCTTGGTTCTTGTCCTGGAGGAACAGGAAACAAGCCTGGTCTAACTGTATGGCAGTTCTTCGATCTTTGAAGACAGCTAACATACACTTCTCAAGAATAAACATACCCAGCTTTTTCAAAGCTGGCTTCCCGATCAATCATCATACTTAAAATGTGGCATCCGAAACTGGGCTCTGTACTCCAAATGCAGCCTGCCCAGAGCCGAAACAACTTTGTTAAACTTTTCTTGTTGGAAATAAATACCTTTGAAATCAATGGTATGTGCTTTGTAGTGCACTTAATTTGTGTCACGTTGTGTGATGAGGACTGTGGCTTCTTTGAGGGTTGTGTGGCCTTTATGGATTTGTTTGTATGGAAAACAAAAGTAGAGAATACACCTGGTAAAAAGAGGTAATGCTGATGTAATTGCGAGTAGAATTGGAGGTCTGACTGGTTACGAACTCTGGAGTGGAAATTTTATTTGTGTCTCTTTCTAAAATAGATTGACGGACTTGATTGGGAAAATGCTTTGTTTTACAGAATCAGAGTATATCAAAGATATATAAAAACAAGACAGACATTGGCTTATATGCATAGTTTGTTGGAAAGGGTATTAATTGGTGTTTAGTATATAGCAAGCAGTGGCCTATTCATTGTAATGAAGTTAGTAGTCTTTAGCATATTCAACCATCAGATGAACCAGAAAAACCAAAACACAGGGGGTTGGGTGTAGTCAAAACATATCAGAAGCACATCTGAATCTTGCTAACTTTGTACATTTTAATAGGGAAGAATCACGAGTTGGAAAGTAAACATTAGATGTGAAAATATCTCATGAGGCATTTAAGCAAGGAACTTTACTCATTCAGTGGTTTCTTTTGGAACAGTGGACATGCTTTATTTCAATTTTTTTCACAATTTATTTAAACATCTCACATATACAAAATAGGTACAATTTGTTTTTGAGAAATGATGATTCCTTTTCTGCCCATTGTAGAGGATGAAAATGAGATTTAAAAGAACGGACACCTGATGTGGGAGAAGAGAATGAGGATGGGGTGGGAGAGAAACGATCCACATGCTTAGTCTGGGGGTGAGATGGGATAGTCTGACTTTATTCCGAGACAGATTCCAAAGAAACAATACAACTTAATACAGAAAAGTGGTGTGTTTTTTCTTTTCTTTTCTTATCCAAATGACTCTAGCACCATTAAAGTTCAAGTATTGGTTATATACTCTATAAGACTGAATCAGCACCTTTCACTTACGCACGGGACCAAAAGCACCTCAGATCATATGTATAAGAATGTGGATCACACTTGGCTTAGAAGTGTATGAGGTAGTTCAAACCTTTGGAAGTTGTGGTTTTAAACTTCCTCTGTGGAAGATAGTCAAAGGCCACAAGTGGTGCAGACTTTCAGGATTTTTTTATTTGGTTTTTGTTTTTTTGGTTTTGTTTTTTTACACAAAGGCTGACATTTTCCACAACAAGGTGACAAAATCTTGGAAAAAAAACACCTTCTGATTCCTTTTTGGGGCTGTATTAAATTGCATTGCACAACGTTCCAACAAATCCTTCTCCTCTTTCGCCCAGATTTTAAGCTAGTAGATGAACTGAAGAAGTGGAAGGAGTCAGCTTTCAGTATAAAAGAAGAAATGGCAAAGAGAGAATACTTTTTTTTTTTGGTTTTGTTTTAAGTTAGTTTTAGTTCATTCATTTGAAACAGACTGGGCCAATGTCGATACTGAATTCTTGATCAGGGCCACCAATGTCCAAAGGTGCAATGTCAAGGATGGGCAAGCGAGATGGCTTGTTTGTTCTGTATTCAATAATTGTTGAGCCCCATTTGTTCGTCTTTCTCTGCAAGATAGCAATAGCAAATAGTAGTCAGAACAGTTATTCAGGCATTGATTGATCACTGATTGATCAATAGGAGTTCTGCTTCACTTCCCTGCTACATACACCCACTAGTCCAACCCTCCGGCACATTTCACATCATCTAACATGCCAGGGGCCTCCTATCTCCATCCCATCACTTCTATTTCCCCTTCTCCTTTGCAGCACCACTGCCCAATTCTTGAACTAACACCACTCAGACTCTCATGACATTTGCTTTTCAATCTGATGCCTGTACACTGGTGCTTTAGTAACAGCATTTTGTACGGGAGAGATGCACTCCAAACAGGCACTTTCAGCTTTTCTGTGAGTGCCTGCCATGTGTTCAAAGTTTTGCAAAAGACGTATTTCCTGTTCACATTTTGTGAAAAATTGCCTCTGTGTGTGCAGCAAGCACTACAGTCTGGGCCTTCATCTAATGGGGGGTTTTATTGTAGAAAAGGCAGGGCAGGGATGAGATGGGTAGCACTGTACCAGTTAAACAGAGTTATTCCACAGGTCAACTAATTTATAGTCTTCGCTCTCCAGGAGTGCTAATTTTCCAAGGCCCATGTAACTGATACATGGTGGCTCTAAGTCAAGCTTTTCTTATAAATTATGTCTCTGACTACTGGGAATACACAGGTAGGGTGTGAAGCACCAATGGCAGTCTGCATGGACCTTGTGGCACTCCAGATATTTGACTCCTCTGTCACTAGCCAATGGCATAGCCAGCATGTCAGGGTTGACATGGGTTGCGGAGCTTTACAGGCCGAGGGAGCCGGCGTTTGTCCACAGACAGTTTTTCCGGGTCATGTGGCCAACATGACTAAGCCGCTTCTGGCGAACCAGAGCAGCGCACGGAAACGCCATTTACCTTCCCACCGGAGCGGTACCTATGTATCTACTTGCACTTTGACGTGCTTTCGAACTGCTAGGTTGACAGGAGCAGGGACTGAGCAACGGGAGCTCACCCCGTCGCGGGGATTCGAACCACCGACCTTCTGATAGGCAAGCCTTAGGCTCTGTGGTTTAACCCACAGCGCCACCCTTGTCCCTTGGTGTTACAATAGGGAGAGATTTTAGTAGTGCCTTTCACAGGTGCTTGAAAAAGCTGAAGACTTACCTTGCATAAACAAAATAACCCTTAACGACTCCCTATTCTAACAAGTACATTAAGTGACCTGGCTCTGTAGGAGGGCAGTAACACTCAAAGATATTGATAAGCAGGAAGAAACTGGTACTTACAGAGCAGCCGTCTTCAAGAACATTGTACATGAACCTGCCGTTGCCTTCAGCTCGGAGTTCGACATCGTTGGATCCCTGCACTAACAGAGCGCTCTTCAGGCTGCCTGTTTCTGCATCCATGTAAGCGATGCTGTTCTTGCAGTGGTAAGTGATGTTCTGGGAAGCATGGTTAGCCAGTAGTCGCATGAAGGCAAGTTGGGTGGCCATGTCCTTGGTGGTTACACCTTCCTCGTTGTACTCAAACTAAAAACGGAAGGGAGGGGGAAAGCTTCAGTCAAAAATCACACGCATATTATGAAATACATTTTGCACATAAGTCAACTTGGAACACCTTGGCCTCTGAAGGGCAAGGCAATTGGGGGGTGGGGCGGAGTACCACCAGCATTTGAGAAGAAATCGTCAAAACTAAGTTTTGTCCAAGGCCACTGGGAAGCTCCAGGCAAAGCATCACTGGCCAAAGAAGGAGCAGCAGCAGCAGCAGCAGCAGCAGCAGCAGCAGGGAGTTTGTTTCCTCATCCCACTCAATCCCTATCCATGGCGATAATTCATGATGCTAAATGGAAGTTTGAGATTCAGAGGTGGTAGTCTTGGGGTGGGAAACCTGTGCAACTCCAGATGTCACTGGACGGAAACTTCCATAATCTCCAGATAGTCGCTATGGCTGGGGACAATGAAGGATTGGAGTCCAGTGGGTCTGGAGGGTCACAAACTCCCTGTATCAAAATGCACCCTCTGTTGGAAGCAACATGTGGGAATAGATGGTTTGCTGGTCTGATCCAGCCAGGGAGCCCTTCTTATGAACAGGGTTAATGTATCTGTTGTGTGGATTAAAAAATAATCAGTGGGGTTTTTGCCTTCCTTACTAGAATGTTTTTGGCCTTAGAGAACACATTTCTCATAATGGATGCAGTATGGAAACTCACCTGAGTACCGCCATTCATCATTTCTCCAAACCAAACGTGTTTCTTTTCGGCAGGGTTCTTGCTGGTGTACCAGTTCTTAGCTGGGAAGCTTTCTGGATTGGCATGGATGCAAGTCTCACCAGTGGAGAAGTCACAATAAACTCTAATGGCATCCATGGTGCAGCCTTGGTTAGGATCGATCCAGTAGAAGCCTATCATTTTAAAAAGCAACAGTAAGCCCATCTTCATGTTAAATACTCACACTGCTGCAGCCATAGGAACAGTACAAGTACGGACAATACAGAAACCTTAAATCCCCCCTTTTTAAAAATCACTTACATGTGACTAATGGTTATTGTTTAAATCTAGTTGTACCATTTATTAACTTGTTGATGTGAAGGGCTAAAAGTGGAGAGGAATTAGGTGTGGGTTTGGAACAGAAAGGAGGGGGAGATCCAGTAGTTTTAAATAAAAAGCCATAACCCCTGATATGGGCTTATTTGGGGGCTGGGGCTGGCTGTGTTGATAAATACAATTCCTGCAGTCTACAAGGAGAGATTTTATTATGGAGATAGAAAAATTTGATCCTCCATCTGTTCTTAGCCCAACACAGCTGATAGAGTTATGTGAGAGCAACAAAGACAGTCTAATGCAGGGGTAACCAACAGGATGCTCTGTAGATGCTGTCAGCCTACAACTCCCATCAGCCTCAGCCAGCACAGTCAATAGCTAGGGAATTGTTGTCCATCAACATCTGGAGGGCACAAACTTGGCTGTTCCTGGTCTAGTAGTTTGTCCACCTGCCTCTCCCTGCTACTACCAAAAGGTTTCCCAGACAAAAGGAAGAATGGCAGCTGCATGGACAAATGGCACACACAGATTTCCATTGGCCACCCACCCACGAGTGCATTACATGGTCAGCAAGCCACTGGGTCAAGCATCTAGCACTAACATACCACTGGTCCATTCTGGGTGGCTGAGTCTTAGGTCACGGCAGGTGCGGGCTGGGTTCTTCCTGGAGCCTTCTGGGGTCAGGAGGGTCTCGATTTGGTTGTTCAATGTTTTCAGGGTGGCATCAACTTCATAGTCCTTGGGTCTAAGAGATGGCTGATCTGCCCGGTAGTATTCTGCATCATAGCCAATTTCGTATCCACCACCATTGGGACCAGGTGGGCCAGGGTGGCCAGGTGGGCCTGGTGGACCCTAAAAATGTTCAGAAATGAACATGCCTTTGTTTAAATCAAGTTCACTCAATTGTGCAGAAAGTCCAACCCCTTCTCCCCACGAAGAGCCTAAACACAGTGCAAGGCGCATCAAATGGTTCCTCTGGGGCCTATTATAGAAGTGGCCCATGTTCATTAACCCTAGTGATGAGGCAGTGGATGCTGGACACCAAACATGTAGTCTTAATGAAGCACTCACTAAGCAGAGAGCGTGGACTCTTTGCCTGGTTCAACATGACCACTGTCTTGCAAGAGTGAGGTCAAATGTAATATGAACACCAGACGATGGCCAAACAATGTTCCACATTAATTGAGTTTCTTCTACTTATGTTGCATTTTGAAAATTTAATGACAGGCACCGGGGGGGGGGGCAATTTTAACTGGGAATTCAGCACATAGTGGAGAAGAGGTTTGATGCTGCTCCCCCCCCCCAAAAAAAATCATAACTAAAATTCTGATCAGGCTTCTAACTTGTGCAAGGGACCCATGTGAGGACATCAGGGTCCCCTGATGCAGACATTTGCCCTCTAATATGTGAAGGGTGGCAGGGATTGGCCAAGTGACATGACAGAGGGAGTGGAGATGGCATGCTCGTCTCTGCTCTTCCTCACATGTCTGGTAACTGTATAATGCCCAATTAGGGCTAGAAAGTAAAATAAAAGGGGAGCCATTTTATTTCAAACATTTACAGGGCAATCTTACATCTGTTTACTCAGAAGCAAGTCCCATTGTGTTCAGTGTGGCTCACTCTCATGTAGCATGCCTCTGGAATTGTAGAACTTAAGAAAATAATATTTTCTTTTTTATTATTGGTTAAATTTCTATACCGCTTTTCATCTGAGGATCACAGGGCAGTTTGCAATAATAATTAATAATAATAATAATAATAATAATAATATGAAAATACAAATAGCATGGTAACAAAACAAAACCCCCCAATAAATTAAAAATACAAACCCAATAAAGTTTCGCAAACTAAATGCACTAATAACACATTTGCTTGGAGGTTTTGGTTTGGTTTTTTTTAACATTAAAGTGGCATATACATTTTATGAAATAGAATAAAGAAACACTGTCCTATGCAAGTTTGGTCAGACGTAAGCTTCACTGCATTCTTTGGGGCTTCCTCCCAGGAAAACTGCATAGGGTTGCAACTCAAGCCTGTAATCCTGTGTCCTGGGGGTAGCCATTCAGGTGATGTGGGACTCCAGCTTGCATCAGCCTCAGCCCATGTGGCAATAATTGGGGGGGGGGAATGGAAGCTGTAGTTCAACATTATCCGGAGGGCCCCACATTGGCTACTCCTGCTATACACGCTTACCTGGGAGTTATCCCTACTGAATGCAGTGGGACTTCCTTCTGAGCAAACACGGAAAGCCGGGTGCCACTTGTGTTAAAATTGATGGTTTCAGCCCCATACCCTCAGCATCCAGTTTCATACTTACAGAAGGTCCTTGGCTACCCTGAGAGCCACGCACACCAGCAGGTCCAACCGGTCCAGGAAGACCGTTGCGGCCATCTTTGCCAGGAGGACCAGAAGGACCTGCAGGGCCCTGAAGGAAGCAAGCAAAGAAACACCCGCAGATTAGTACACCACCAAAGCAATGAAATGTAGAAATATATAATCACTTTTTTCAAACAACAACAACAAGAAGAAGACTGTTCAATATCCCACACAAAGGGAGAGTGTTCACATACCCTTGGGCCAGCAGGTCCAGTAGCACCAGGTGAACCTTGGTCTCCATGATGACCCTGTTGGAAGGAGAGAGGTTTTTTAAAACATGATTTACTCCTGTATTAACCTGTTTCCATGCAGAATATTCATCCTTGCACAAATGGCAAATTCATGGTGGGGAGGGAATATAATGGAGGGCTTATTTTGATTCTCAAAATCTGTTTTTGTTTTAAACAAATAGGGCAGGGTGCAGAAGGTAAGGAAAACTCGAGATGTTATTGAACCAACTCCCATCAGTCCCAGCCAGCCCAGGTTGTGGTCAGGGGTGATGGAAGTCAGAGGCTGAGGACATCTGAAGGACGACTGGTTCGCTGTCCTTATAACAGGATGTCCAGTCCCATCCCTGAGAAACAGGAAGTGATAATGACGACAAACATGCCATTGAGCATATATGGTCTCTCGCCCCCCTCACTGAATAACCACCGCCTGCCCCCATGTATCTGGGCACTGGGGCAGGATTTCTAGATGGGCTTCAGTCATACACAACGTCTCTGCTTCTGAACATTAATTGCTGGCCTAATGGAAAGGAAATGCCGACAACTCTACAGAGAGCTGCTGCCAGTCTGAGTCGTCGATGTTGATCTATGTGGACCAAGTCTCACTCCTTCTAGTGTGAAAAGGCAAAACCACAGCTCCTTCACACAGACTAATCCCGAAGGGCCTTAGAACGTGCTACCAATGATGCAGGGCCCTGTGAATGTGCTGATTATCAGGGAGGCTATATTATTTCTGTTGCTGTTTCGCCCCATTGTTTGGGCGAACAACACACTTACAGCAATGCCAGGCAGACCCTGAAGTCCATTGTGTCCCTTGAAGCCAGGTGCGCCTCTGGGTCCCTTGTCACCAGGACCACCTTTCTCACCACGTGGACCTGCTGGGCCCTGTGGAGGGCATAAAAAGGGAAAAGTGAAAAACAGAATCTTTGCAGGGAGCTTTCCACCTGCAGAGTTTGTTTAGACACACACAAGTACGTTTGCTTTTGGAACATTTTCATGTCTAGAAAGCAGATTTACCTCTGTTTAAAAACAATTCTGCTGAGCAAGGACTGCGGCTCAAAATGTCTCAGGGTCCCTCTCCTTTTTGCCAATCTGTTACTCTACCACTGATCTGGTCTAAGTAGGAACAGCCTGAGTCCTCGCTTGGGACCAGTGCTATTTTTCTAGAAAAAGAGGTGCTGGAACTCACCATGAATGCCTCCCTTGTTCTCTTAGAATGGTAATGGTGCCCACCTGAGAGGTGCTGGAACTGAGTTCTGGTGAGTTCCAGCTAAAGAAAAGCCCTGCTTGGGACTAGAAAGTTTCCTAAGCATTGGTTTTTGCTTATATCCAGCCTTAAGTCGTATAGCAGGTTGTGTCCATTTTGATGAGCCTGCATCTCAAAATTACTACACTCAACGCTTGCTTTCTCTTTGTCCTCAAAGGGCTCACAAGTCAATCACATAAGGAATGGGAGTTAGGCTAGGTACCCCACCATTGCAATCTTAAAACCTTTCAACCAAAGGGAAAGACCACTACCATATTCTAAACTTCCTACTCATGCCAAAATTTCCCCATGATCTATACAACCCTCTGACTTGATTTCCAGAACCCAGATCTCCATTCCTGTCCTCATCATGGGACTTCTTACCAAAAGGACATAATTACAGAAGCGAAACAAAATCCGAACTTACAGCAAGACCTCTTGCACCAGCAGGACCAGCAGGACCAGCAATTCCAACAGGACCCTGAAATGGTGACAAAGCACAGTTAGAGAAACTGCTCACTGTAGATTGTGATGACAAAGCTCCCTTTCCTTGACCAACAAAGGAATGACCCAAGGGTGGCTCAATACATTCATAATATGGACAAGAACAGGAAGCACAAGTGGTTCACACTTCATGTCCTCTGCGTTTCTTTTGGCCACAATGCCCAAAGTGTGACTTTAGGTAGTTTTTGTCCCTTCCTTCATTGGAAGCACATGCTAAGGGAAGAGCTGGGATAGTTCAGTGCATTATCAAATGCACTGAACTGTAAGTTCAAGTCACTTGCACTTCCTGTTCACCAAAGATGAAGAGAACACCCAAAGCCAGTCATAGCAAATGGCTGCTGGAATGAAAGAGCATGCATGGCATTTTCAGAAGGCCCTGTTTTGGGAGGTCTGGTTGCAAAGGGACTTCTGTTTCAAGGGAGCCAAAAAGTGTAACCGTACAGAGAACTAATGCCACAGCGGGGAGTGATGTGGCAGCTCACAGCCGCTTGACAACAGGTTGTCTTCATTCATTGGAGACGAAATGGGAAGCGCACTGGTACCACATCAATGAGAATCAAGAAGGAATACTGTGATCCCCGCTGCTTTCTTTTACAATGAATTGGCAGTAGTGGAATGTTCAGCGATACAGTGGAGGGCTTGGCCATAGTTTACAGGATGGTACTAGCCATTATGCCAAGTTTTGAGTAGTGTAGGGCTCCCAGGCAAATAGTGGGCACCCACCATGCAGAAAACAGGGATGAAAGAACAGCACCACCCTACTATTCACTAAGCTTCAGGGTTAACACCTGTAATTCCCTTCCTCATCACAACACAGAAGTGCAAGGGCCAGATTTTAGGTCTGAGAAAAGCTGGAAGATGGAAGTCTTATTGATACAAGGAACAGAATACTCTTCTTATTGGACAGGATATAAGGGGAAAATACTAGATGGGATGAATGGTAGTTAGGGGAATTGTGCATGTGTAGACTGATGAGAGGGTGTGCTTTAGGGATCAGGCATTGAATGTAGACCAAAATATCATCATCATCAACGATAACATTTCTCACGCCTTGGTAAGCCTTCAGGGCTCACTGCAGTAACAAAATTATCTCTCCATCTAATAGCAAACTCAGCTGGTGATCAACAACAGAACAGCAATCCAAATGGGGCCACTGAGAAAAGGAAGGTGCTGGTTTGTACAAAAATATTTAAGATGCACCCTCGCTATAAAAACCCGGCTTAATAAGGACTGAGCATGCTCAGTGGCCACACAATTCTAAGTGCCCACTGGAAGCAGGTGCAATGGAGTACCCTAGAAGACAGCATGGCTGGCCAACACTGGACAGGAGCAGTCCACACTGTGACGTTCTGCAGTAAATCCTACTTGCCTGGTATCTAACACCCAACCCATTCCATAAGCAGTTAAGTCTACTACAAAACTACAACAGGTCAACTAAATGCATAGAATCCCACCCCTTCCTAAAGGTTTTGGCCAAGCTTCTCAATGCCACCAGGTAGACTGCCTGTAGGGCTTCTCAGTGCGGGAGGCACCCATTGGTGGTGTAGTGGTTACAGTGTCAGACTTGGATATGTGAGACCAGAGTTCAAATCCTCACTAGGAAACGAAGCTCATTGACCTTGGGCCAGTCGCTGCCTCTCAGCCTTACCTACCTCACAGGGTTGCTGTGGGCATTAAACAAGGAAAAGGGAAAGTCATGCATACCACCCTTGAGCACCTTGGAGGAAAAAGGTGCAATCAATAAACATGTCTTGGGGACCGAGCCTTTCGAATGCAGCCCTGATAGATTACATCTGACTTTTGATTTTATGAAATGGATAGAAGTCACATACAGGTTCGCCACGATTTCCAGGTTTGCCAGCAGGGCCAACAGAGCCGTGGGGGCCAGGGGCACCGAGAGCACCAGAGGGACCAGGGTTGCCAGGAGCACCACGTTCACCCTGAAAAGACGAAGGCAAAGGACAAATGGAAGACCTTTAATTTTTTTATTTGCATTTTTAATACAGAGACAGAAAAACAACACATCCCACCCCCCCTTCCGCCCACCCCCCAGTTGTACAACTTTCATATCAATCTCGACATACAACTAAATACCTGGAGACTTCCCTAAATGGAAGTCCAAAGGCATGAGCTTGTAGCAAGCACAGGCTCACTTCTGCCTAGAGAAGGGGAAAACGGGATTACCTTGTAACCAGGAGTACCATCACGGCCTGGAGGACCATCGTTACCTGGATTTCCCTGTGAAGAAAAATATAATCTTAACATCACACACGACATGGAAAAAAAGCTTTACTTTACTGACAGGGGAATGACAGCGTGTTCTGTACTTCCCTCCTGCCCCCAGCTCCAAACCACAGAACAGGTCCAAGTGGAATAATCTGCCACACTTTATTCTTTCATTGTGACCATTTCTCCCCTAATTACTCATTTCAGAGGGATGGATTTAGTTTATTTCTAGATTTCTACAGTTCTAGATTGATCCATTTTTTCTGCACTCTATTTATGCATTTTATTTTATTACAGCTTTATTTCATCAGACCAAAAGTAATGGAACGTTCTGAGAACTGTGTGATTTTAATGGAAATATTATTCCCCCCCCCTTCTTATCTTTTCATGTTATCATTTCTTCCTCACTGTGTACATGAAGGAAAAAAAAAACAAAAAACGGTAAAGGACCCCTGGACGGTTAAGTCCCATCAAAAGGAGACTATGGGGTGTGGTGCTCATCTCACTTTTCAGGCTGAGGGAGCCACATTCTCAATGGGCAAGTTTGGATAATCATATATTGGCTTAATAAACTACCTTATAAGTGAGCCTTTTGGCCACACATGAAGCCCATTCACTCTTCCCTTAGTGGTGAGAGGGGAAAAAAGATGATTATATATCACCCAGAAAACTTCATTCCTGATTGTACAGATCAGGAAATATGGCTAACATCTAAGGAACAAGACATCATATTAAGCCAATTTCAAACCATGGCTGAATATACTATCTTGCTCTAAAGCTGCTAACTGTAATTTTCAAGCCTACATGAAATGGGAAATTATAGTCAATGTAAGATTTCCTGGTTTGTTTTCTCACTCGCACAAAGGGAGGAACAAAATGGCCAAGTGTATAGTTCAGACCTCAGTTTATTAAGCTGAGACATGATTATCTGTATATGGTCACTGTGAGGTTTCCTACAATGGCAGCTAGTGGAGCATGGGGACGCATCACTTTATAGGATCAAGTGCATTGCTGTCAACGACTTCCAAAGCACACTTCAACATGCAAAGTACATTACAACTGCTATCCTATTCATTGATCCCACTTCCATGTCACTGAATTAAAAAATTAATCACAAACAAACAAACAAAAACCTTCATGCGAAAGAAAAACAGCTGTGTTAAATAACCTTCAAATGTGATTTTAAATGCTGCTGAAAATTTAGAATTCCACCTTCCCCACCTCTATTTCCCCCACTTATGACCAAAAAGGTCTACTTACATCACGACCAGCTTCGCCCTGGGCACCATTCACACCAGGGGAACCCACGGGACCAGATGGGCCACGGGCACCTGGGGGACCAGCAATACCAAGGGGTCCAGGCTCACCCTGAAAACAATAGCAGGGATACATTTCATTGCTGTTCGTATACTTAACTAGCAAAATATTCAATACATCCTATTTGCCATTCATTATTTGACTACTATATAACTTTCAGCTGATGCTTGATGCTCTACAGCAGGGGTGGAAGAATCTTTTTAGCCTATGGTTACCAGATGTCCCCGTTTCCCGGGGACAGTCCCCAGATTTACAAATCTGCCCCCGGACAAAATCCCCGGAATGTCCCCAGATTTTATTTAATGTCCCCGGATTTATATTTTAAGCATTGTAGATTTATTAGTAGGGAATGAATGTTGCGTGACTGGTTCAACAGCACAAGACACATCATATGGGGACTTCCGGCGAGGCAAAATGGCGGGCGCCCCAGCAGCGTGCAGCTCCTGAAGCCAGCCAGAGCCAACTGCGCTACCAGGCTGGCTCTGGGCTGCTGAGACTGCCACTGCTGCCACCACTGCCGAGGGGGAACTGGGGACGCCCCGTACGTCAACTGGGGGAACCGCTGACATGGAGTCAGGAGGGAGAGCACCCAGCCACCTGGCCGACTGCCCAGTGGCGTCCCGGGGCCAGAAAAACCCTGGCGCCGACACTGGGAGAAGGAGGAGAGGAGAAGAAGAAGGAAGAGAGAGAAAGAGGAAGGAGAAAAAAGAGGGGAGCCCCATCCTTGCCGCGCCGCTGCCACCGCTGAGGAAGAGAGGTAGGAGAGCACCGGGAGGGCAAGGACAGGTGGCCGAGCCCAGGCCCAACCCGAGCCTACTCCATGGCTGCTAGAGCTCCAAGAGAGCAGGCCGGGGCCCAGAGGAGATCACAGAAGAGAAAATATTATTTCTTATTTTTTTAAAAAAATAACTTTTTAAAAAATAACTTTTTGTCTGTCTTTAAAAAAAAGTGTCCCTAGATTCCTTGGAAAAAATCTGGTAACCTTATTTTAGCCCGGAATGTTATCTCCTTACCCACCAGCCGCTGGTAAGCCAAGTTTGATGTCACAATGATGTTAGGTGAGGGTTTTTTTTGGCCTGTAGGGGTCTCCAAAAGCCCCTTTCAAAGTGCTATTTAGCACAGTACTTTGAAATGGGCTTTGCAGGTACTACCGGTCAGCAGTGCCTGCAAACTCCCTTTTCACCTGAGCCAGGTTTTTACCTGCCCAACACCAGACATCCTATAGGATGTTCTATACCGCAGCTCGACAGAAAGCAGCTCTTGCTTATGATACATGTGCAGACTAAACTTCTGAGTCTGTTCCGGCTATGGCGGTGCAAGCAAGAGTTTCCACTGCCAAGGCAAAAACGTGATTGGTTGAACAGCTGACAGGGCAGGACCATATAACCGGTTCCCACTTGCCAAGCAGCAGCCAATCCCGGACCTTCCTTCAGGGAATTTCTGGTACATGTCCTGCCAGAATGGTACAGTCACCCTTAGGAGGCAGCTAGCTTGAGGGCATCAGCTGAACTCCCACACCAGCATTGGTACCCAATGGCACATCCTATGAAACAGTGCCACAACGCACTTGTAGGAGCAAGCCATAAGACAGAAGCGCACAACTCCAAAGGAGCAACTTTACACTGTGTTTCTCCTCCAGGTTAAAAAAACCAAGAGTTCAGCATTGAATTCTAATTCCAGACAAAGCATATCTGCCATCTAGCTGAAGACTTGGCAAATATGGTACTCACAAGTGATCCAGCAATGCCTGGGAGACCACGTTCTCCTCTGCTGCCAGGAATACCAAGGATACCAGGAGCTCCAAGAAGACCTTGAGGACCAGGGGAACCAGGGGCACCCTACATGAAGAAAAGAGCAGAATAAAATTTTCAGATCCTATTTGCAGACTAGCAAACTTCCAATTTGTAACATAAATGAAACAGGTTCTTCCCGTCTCCTTTGGAAACTTAATTTGATCTCAGATGTGCACGTATCTCTTCTGATGTACTCAGATTAAGGTTATCCAGCCTTCTTAAAGACAAATCAGGCAACCTGTACCCTTGCCTTGGAATCCTTATTCTGTTTCAGATCATCTTGTTTAAGTTTGGGAATGGGACCGCATGGCAATGCCAGAATAAGCCTAATGACCTCAATAGCAAATTAAATTAAAACATATTCATTATTTGCCACTTGCAGGGCCAATGAAACCAGCAGAAAGTGGGACTTCATGCTGCAGTTGCCACACCTGGAGAACGACTAGCAATTCTTAGTGGTGGTGTAGGCCAATGACATCATTGATCCATGGTGGATTATGCTAGCCATTCTCCAGGGGCAGCACCTAGAACCAGCAGCCCCCCCCCCAACTATCAAGTGATGCCCTTTGCTAACAGGCACTGATTCCTTCCTTAAATTGTGTAAATAAGGCTATTGACCTTATGGTTGTGAATTCAGCCAATGGCTACAAAGATTTAGCTTAGAATTTGCTGAGACCAATTTATATGCACATCAATACTTTTGTACTATTTGATGCAAGGACAGATATTTTCAAAGTCTTCACTTAAACGCATTTTTTCTTTTTTTAGGTTATTCACAACAGATTTGGGGGCGTGAGCCACATCATCATCCGGTGCAATGGGCAATCCATTGTGTCCAAACATTTTGTGGAATTCTTGCCCTGGCTACCATGGAAGGTTGAAAGTCCACACAATGCACAGAATTCTGAAGCCCTACATATTGAAAATCAAGATTATATATATCCTTGACTTCATCCTGCTACTTAAGGATGGGCTTGTATAAATAAAACAACTTCAAATAAATAAAGTTTGAATAGGACCTTGCTGAAAGCAGTCCTACTGAGAGCAGCAAAGCTCATGAAGAAAGTGACATATTCCCCTGGAGTAAAAAAAAGAAGCAGAACTCAGAGAAGCCATGTCACTCCAATCCAGCAGAAGACCTGAATGGTACTGATGCATTGGTTTATGTCTGCACGTACTTAAAAGGGAGATTCCTATATGCTTTGAAGAACACACACTCATGGGCTGTGTTGGCTGATGTCTGTATTTCTGAGAAATACGGCAAGAATGACTAACACAGCCTTGGCCAACCTGGTGCCTCTCTCCAGCTGTTATGGACTGAACTTCCATAAGCCCCAGGCAGCATCGCTGTGCTGGCTGGGGACAGACAGGAGTTGTAGTTCTGGAGGGCACCAGGTTGGTGAAGGCAGGCCTAAGAACTGGTATTCAGGCATGACTGATCTGAACCGTTTTTAATTCTGAATTTTACCTTGCTGAACAATGGGTAATAATAATGATAATGAAAATGATGAAAAGGAAGGAAAATGAATTATTTGTAATAACTTACAGCAGCACCACTTTCTCCACTTGGACCTTTCTCTCCACTGAATCCAGGTGGCCCAACAATACCAGGTTCACCAGCACGGCCAACTGGACCGGTGTCACCACGTTGGCCTCTGATACCTTCTTTGCCAGCTGGGCCAGGAGGGCCAGGGGGACCAGTGATACCCTAGGGATAAAGTAGACAGGTAAATAAATGCCCATGGTTACATTGCTGGTGTAACCAGTTCACAGAGAGCAAAATATTAAACCAGATAGCAAAGAACTGACAAAAATTCTTGGTGAGAAACAAAAACAACAACAACACCACAACAACTAATTACAACAAGCTTGCTCCTGAGGATCACATGGAATTAATGGACTCCTTTCGTCAAGGTTTCTACAGCAGCGTTTTCCAGGTTTCCTATCTACAGGGAACACTTTCCACACCGACTTGTCCAGTTGAGGAATTCCAGGAGCTCTGCCATAGAAACTTTACACATGGTGCAGGATTCTGGAGCATGTTCTATCCAAGGATCAGTGGCATATGATATGCAAATGTGTACAAGAGAACTCCAGGAGCACACTTCAAATGAAAGCAAGTGTTAGGGAGGACAGGACGGGACAATACGGAGTAAAGAGTGAGGAGGGGATGCTTACATCCCCCACCCCCGTAACTTTACAGGAAGCTGGTTAATCCAGCCCCTCTCCAGCCAAATGTTAAGGCAATATTTTTGTGAGAGGAAAGTAGTATGGAAATTTGTGGGTGGAAAAGCAATTTCAGGGAGGGGGATTTCAGAGGCTGTTGGGGAAGGGTCAAGCAGCCTCCCACCCAAATTCCCTTCTTCTAGTGCTGCTTTGAGTAAAGGAGAGAGGAGTTTTCTTAGTCACATTCATTCATTCATATGCACTGTATAGATAACCCTTCTGTTAAACCAGGGTTTTGGGAAGACCTGTTGAGCCTAATTGTCACCGTGTCATGTACTCAATGGCTGCATATTTGCTGGAGAAGGTTGGTAGTGATGGATAACTTTCACAGAAGCTTGCCCACTACTTCAGATCTTTTCAAACAACTGTTGACAAGGTTCCAAAGAACCCCAGTTATCCAGGATCGTTCTTTGCAAAGAGGAATTAGAAGCACCAGACCCTGTATGTATTCTACCTTGTTTAAATTTACAGATGGAGTGTTCTCAATGGCTACTTACAGCGGGGCCAGGGGGTCCGGATCTTCCAGCAGCACCAGGGAAACCAGTGACACCCTGTTGGGGGGAAAAAGATCAAAGAAGAGATCAGGACTTACAAGGACCAGTAGGAGGGTGGATGTAGGAGCATCAACATAATAAGTTTCTACACTTACAGGTGGACCAGAATCACCACGACCTCCAGTGGGACCAGCAGGGCCAACGGGACCCTATATACAAGAAGAAAGAGTAGGAAAAATGAAGATAAGTAGAGTACTGCAAAGTTCTAGCTGTCAAATATTGGCTTGATCATGATTGGAGTTAAAAATTAATGAAAGCTATGCTACTGACTTATTGAAAGGAGGATCAGACACTATTTCATACTCTAATGCAGGCATGGGGAACCCTGTGGCCCTCCCAGTGATGTTGGTGTTGGGACTCCAATGGCCAATGTGGTGGGATGATGATGGGATTTGTAGTCCAGCAACACACCACTACTTTGTAACAGTAGTCATAACGTGGACAAGACGCCATCCCTAAGTTGCTAACTTGGTTTTGAAGAGTGTTGACATTACCACTACCTCGTACATGAGATCATTTTTCTAAGAACAGTGGTGGTTCATATACTACCAACCACAGGCAGAAAAATTAACATACGAGTTACAATGTTCAGTCGGTTGTTGTTGGCACCCATCTGTCTCGAGAGACAATGGAGGAGTGCGCCATTGGGGGTAAAGTCAAACTGTTGGGAAGTTACAGCGCCTGCTGTGGCTGTAGAAACCAATATGCGAGAGACATGTTTTGTTGCGGCTGGGGCAGATGAAGGCGGCTGGTTTCTCTGCACCACAGCATTTCTTCTCTCTGCACTCCTCCCAGCGGTCATTTCAGTTCAGTCAGTACTCATATACTCTTCAAAGTACTACTCTTCATTCAATGAATTGATCATGCTTGTGATAATTTATCAGTGATATACCAGGAGTGCTAGTAAAGGGAAAGGGACCCCTGACCATTAGGTTCAGTCGTGGCCGACTCTGAGGTTGCGGCGCTCATCTCGCTTTATTGGCCAAGGGAGCCGGCGTACAGCTTCTGGGTCATGTGACCAGCATGACTAAGCCGCTTCTGTTGAACCAGAGCAGCGTACGGAAACGCCGTTTACCTTCCCGCCGGAGCGGTACCTATTTATCTGCTTGCATTTTGACGTGCTTTGGAACTGCTAGGTTGGCAGGAGCAGGGTCCGAGAAACGGGAGCTCACCCTGTCGTGGGGATTCGAACCGCCGACCTTCTGATCAGCAAGTCCTAGGCTCTATGGTTTAACGCACAGCGTCACCCGTGTATGTCAAAACTCCTCTGGAAATACTGTATATACACAATCTATCCAGAAAGATGGCCACTGGTATTGGTTCCTTACCACCAATCTATAGCATTTATATATTAACTCTTTGAAAATAGCTTATAAGGAAGGAGTAAGGACCATGTAGTTGCTGCTGGAATACAAGTCTCATCATTCCTGACCACTGGCCATGCTGGCAGGAGTTGATTTGAGCTGGAGTTCATCAACATCCGGAAGGCCACAGATTCCCCACCCCTGCAAGGTTTACCTAACTCCGAATTCCTCCAAATGTAGTGCCGAAGGCAATCTAGACCTTTTGGGAATGGCATGCTTTGTTCCTGTTCTTTGGAAAAAATTCTAGGCACTTCACAAATCAGCCTAACAGTAATTCTAGATTTGAACCACACAAGGATTCTGCTTCACAGCTATGCAATGCGTTTATGGATGTAGCACTATGAAATCCAAAGAGACTACACAGATCAGAAGGTGAGGAGAGTTTAATATAAAATTCATTTGACTTACAGAGGGGCCAGAGTTGCCAACAGACCCGACAGCACCTTGTGGGCCTTGTTCTCCTTTAGGTCCTCTCTGGCCTCTTTCACCTTTAGCACCAGTCTGACCAGCTGCACCCTTAAAAAGTCAAGAGGGGAGAAATGTTACTCAAAATGCATTATAGCCCCAAACTATTAAAAACCACGTGAAAGCCAATCTTTCCCTTCATACTTACAGGAGGGCCGGCAAATCCAGGAGGACCAGCAGGGCCAACCTCACCACGTTCACCCTATGGTAGGGGAGGAGAACCAAAACACATCCCAGTGAGAAAAGCTAATCGCCATTTCATATCAAAGCTTCCGAGAACCTGTTCGTATCACACTTTTAAAAGAAATTATTCCACTACTTACAGAACTTCCACGAGGACCAGCAGGGCCAGCGGGGCCAGCGGAACCGGCTTCGCCCTAAAACAAACACACAAAGGATTCATGTTGCTAGGATACGCACCAGGCCGTCTTCTACTGCAACTCCATGGCTGAAGGAAGAAGCATCTACCCATCAGCCTCTTGGTGATCCACTGATGCAACTCAAACCATCAGGTGCCACAGGCAAGAGAGCAGGTGCATTGCAGCAGGGTGCCTTCAGAACAAATTGATCCCAATGGCTTGGGCATAAGAGCCACAAACAAGGGTTCAATCAATCAATCAATCAATCAATCAATCAATCCCAAGGCACTTTTGGCTAGTTTGCCGTATTTCATTTGCCATATTACATTTGCCATTTCATTTGCCATTTGGATATGAGGCAGAAAGGTAAGTTAAACTCATTGGTGTTCTATTTAGGCCCTGTAAAAATGTGTTCTGTCCCCTTAAATTACAGCCCAGACTCCTCATTGCCTCTAAGACAAAGATAGTGAGAAGGGTGTGTAAATAACAATAACAGAGTAGGCGCAATGCCATCTTTCAAAATGTAATCCTTTCCCTCCAACATTTTTTTAACCATGCTTAACTTCTTTTCAATCAAAGAATGGCCATGAATTCAAAGTGCCATGTTAAGGATGCGCAAGCGTTCTTTGCACTGAAGGCTCCTATGCCATGACAAAATGGTAGTTGTTTGCTTGTGATCTTGGTGTTGGGGGAAGCTGCTGTTTGAAAAATGTAAGCCAAATAACATCTCTCTGGGGGCACCGTATGGAACCAGTTAAACCATTCATTTCCAGTCATTGGTCTTGACCCCAGATCTTAACAGATATAAAACCATACAGACACAGGTAAAAAGCCAGGTAGCCATGCAGCCTACACTTATCACCCAAGAAGGGGAAAAAATAAAATAAAATCATGAAAAGTACAGTTCGAGCCTTAAATTTTAAGTGTGTTCAAGCAATTGTCCTTATAAGCCTCCGCCTGAAATGGCATGAGAGCAAGGAGCCCCAAATGGCCATTGTGCTCTTGGGGGGTGGGGGGGGGTGGGAGACAGGATGTCCTGTTTTTTTCCAGGGTAGTTGACGCGTATATTTTACTAGGGATGTAGGGATGTTCCTTCAACCATTTCATTTCCTGGGGAATATTTACATTTTTAGGGTGTTTTCTGAATTATTCTTATTCTTATTTAGTTATATCCTGCCTTTTCCCCAAACTGGGACTCAAGGCAGCTTACAGATAAAATAGAAAAAGCTAAAAAGATAATCATTAAAAAGCAGTTAAACACTAACAGAATTAAAACTAGATGGACAGATCTATTAAAAACACAGATAACAACAACAAGAAAAACAGCACAGCACCAGCGCCTTCCTTAAAAACAGTCAGTTCCTAAAAGCCTGTTGGAATAGGAAGGTATTCACCTGCTGGTGGAATGACAACAAGGAGGGAGCCAGTCTAATTTCTATAGAAAAGTCTGAGAGCATAAATAGGGATTAATCTAAAGCCAGGGTGTTGACCCTGTTGCCTTCAAGATGTTGCAGAACTGCAACTCCCATCAGCCTCGGCCAGCACAGCCAGGGATAGATAATAGGAGCTGTAGTTCAGCAATATCTGGAGGGTGACAGGTTCCCTATCCCTGATCAATGATTTAGGCTGCAATCCTATACCCACTTATCTGGGAGCAAGACCCACTGAACTCGGTGTAGACGTGTGCAGGATTGCAGTGTTAGAGTTGAGTCAACTGGGCCTAGTGCAAGAATGGGGAACCAGTGGCCCTCCAGATATTTTTGGACTACAGATCCCATCATCCCTGACCATGGTGGTTCAGGGTGATGGGAGTTGGAGTCCAAGAACATCTGGAGGGCCACAGGTTCTCCATCCCTGGCTTAGCAGATAGCATATTTGGCAAAACTGGATTCATATCTTTGCTCAACCTTCAGCTGACTGTGTTCTTATGGGCATGCCATTTATGTTCATTTCTCCATCTGTAAAATGGGACTATTAATAACCACAGATGGTGAATAAGATAATTACTAGGATGCTCTTTGGACAGGAAGAAACGCTATAGGAATAAGCAGCGCTTTTTTCTGGGGGGTACGCATACCCCTAAACATTTTGTGAATCTTTGTACTTTTGTCCATTCTCTGTATTTATTTTTCCAGATTTGAATTATAAAGTGGCGATTTTCTTGAGTCAAAATGAGAGTACCCCTAAACATTTCTTTATTTTTAGGGGAAAAAGCACAGGGAATAAGGAAAAAATAGGATAAGACCCAATGCGTAGGACTGCACTGTAGGTATTGTTTTAACTTTCTCTGTTATGTGTAACTTTTCCCTACCACTAAGATATTTTAAAATATAAAGAGGATTATAAATGCTTTCACACAAACAAACATCTTGATATTTTTCCCAATGTGTTTTATTTGGATGCTGTAACATTGGAGGGGTGAATCTCATCCATGAGAAGCTGCCTTATACCACCAGATTGGTCCATCTAGCTCAATACTGTCCGCATTGACAGCCAGGAGATAGTTCAGTCGGTAGAGCATGAGATTCTGGATCTCAGGGCTGTGGGTTCAAGCCCCACATTGGCCAAAGGATCCCTTCATTGCAGGGGGTTGGACTAGATGACCCTTGTGGTCCCTTTCGACTCTACAATTGTATGATTCTGATCCAGGGATTCTGTGATCCAGGGTTTCAAGCAGGAGTCTTTCTCTAGCCCTACCTGGAGACGCATTGAACCTGGGACTTTTACATGCAAAACACATGCTATACCACTGAGCGATGGCTGCTTCCCATACTAAATGCAAGCCTGCTAAGCATCTGAAAAGTCTGCCACTTACTCTTTCGCCAGTACTTCCAGCAGGGCCAGGAGCACCAACTGCACCAGGAATACCCTGAAAAAATCAAGCAGAATTACAGGTTTGAATCTAGGGTGTTTTTTCTCCCCATGTTAAACCCACACCAGAAGAAAATTATCCAAGCTATGGATAAATTGCACAAATGAAAAAACGACACATTTAGTTTTTGTTTTTTAAAAAGGTTTTGTATTGTTTTCAGGTTTTTTGGTTTTTTTAATCCAGCATCAGAAATCAAAGTAATAGTTGTCCAAACAAGTTGCATTAACTTCCTTAATAATACCAGTGACGTATTTTCAAGATCTTCAGTGATCTAAACTTACTTCAGGCTAATATCACCGAAGGTTAAGGGTCTGGGTGCAGAATTAATGGGCTATGTATTGGGACCTAAATCCAATTATTTTTCTCTCCCCCTCTTGATTACTAAAAGGACTGAAGGCTTGGCTCCTAGGAAATAAAGCAATTTAAGAAGTATACTTACCCGTGAACCATCTCTTCCTGAAGTTCCGGCTTCTCCTCTGAAGCCTGTTGGACCCTGAAATGAAGCGGGATGCAGCATGAATTCTGAGTCTCACTGTCTAATTCAGAGGCTTTCAACCTTTTTGAGTCCACGGCTCCTTTAACCAACTACATTCTTTCTGTGGCACCCCTGTGGGGCTCAGGAGCCCAGTTATGTCACCCTTTGCCTGCAGAGCCGGCAGCCCCTCACCCTTTTTCAAACACCCTCTGTTGTGGAGTGTTCCCTTAGCCCTCTCCCCTCTTCCTTTTTAGTCCTCTATTATTTCCTTGTTTTCATTTTTCATGTCTGTTGCGTCTTTATTTTCTCCCCCTTTGCAACTACCAATGCTCTGGGTTGCCAGTGGAGGTAAAAATCCTCTTAGTTGTGTCTTCTGCAGATGGAAAAACAAACACCCCTAATTTTTCTCCATTTTTACTGAATCCATAAACCAGACAATTCTAATATCAATGCCTGGAAAAGGAATTGGATCCACACGAACAAGAGAGTTGAATGTTACAAACACCTCCCAGTGAACTCAGTTCATCAAATAATTATTGCTAGGTCCCTCAAGATCATCTAATATTTTTTATTTTAAAAATCATGAATAACATTATGAAATGAATTTTAAAGGTAGCCAGCAGAAGACAGGAATGCTTTTGTAGACAGGAATGGAAGTGTTTAGTGCTTGCCATTACTATATTCCCCACTAAGCCAATTTCTTGCAGATGCCTATGATGTTGCGTTCCTGGAAAACACAGTCTCACTCACATATGTACTCAACTTTGGGTCTTGATAAACTAAACCAGAATAATAATAAATTAATTGACAGAATTAAACTTGCGGGTCACTTATTACACAGAAGGTTTCCAAGTGACTTGCCGCATATGATTCTAAGCCAGGAAAGCTGAGCCTAAGGCTTCCTACTGCAGCACAAGTGCTTAAAATGGGGTCTCTTGATTACTATAGCTACTCAGGGACCGAACCTGGGGTTATCAGCTTACAAAGCATGGGCAGTACCACTGAGCGGCCACAGCATTTCCCCACCGAGGAAGACCTTGCGATTAAAATACACCAGGGGCGACTTTGCGGATGTGATGAATTGTTGCTCAGGAATCAGCTTGCCTCTTATTGGCCTTACCTTTTCGCCTTTGCCTCCTGGGATGCCAGCAATACCTCTCTCGCCAGGCATTCCACTGGGACCAGCTGGGCCTGGGGTACCAGCAGCACCAGCGGCACCAGGTTCACCCTAGGAGAACAGGAAAAGAAAGATTCAATCTTCAAGAGCCCTAGGGGGAAATGAGCCATATGCTTCATTGTGCCTGCCTGCAAATAGCTGCTTGTTAGTATTCTGAAAGGTACTGCATTTCTGAATACTGCTGGGGAAAAAATACTCTCTGCAGTAGCTGCCCAGGAGTGGAGGTGATGTTTCTTATCACGTGACATTCAAACGATCCATTCTCTAAACAAGCAGGTAAAAGCAGCTGAATACATCCTAAGCAGAAATGTCTGGTTTGGGATAGGTCTAATTAAAATGGATCAATTTGGAGGATGTCTTCTGGGTGTTCAAAATTAACCCGATATGAGATTGACTTCATTATCATCTTAGCAGCATCAAGGGATGCCAGGAACCATGTGAATTATATTTTCCAAGGGTTGTATCTAACTAAGCTATACTCACCATTGAAATTGATGGGCCTAAGCTGGTCATGCCCTTTGTTTTTATTGGGTCTTCTCTGAATAGGAATAACCCCTGAATAGCTCAGTCAGTAGAGCACGAGACTCTTCATCTCAAACCCCACATTGGGTGAAAGATTTCTGCATTGCAGAGGGTTGGACTAGATTACCCTCATGCTCCCTACCAACTATGATTCTAAGAAATCTATGAAACACTGGATACAGACATGTGCTTTCTCTCATCCCTGCAGCGACATCTAGGGCTTGAAACCTGATAGCCAACTAGCAATACTTTTCTAGAGACCCCTGTGTACTGCTACCACCCCTCAATTTGATTAAGGGGTAGAGAAACCAAAAATAGATCCATTACAGGTTGACCAGGACTCCAGATCCAGAATCAACGGGCAGGGTGGAAATTTGCAGAAATCAATCACAGAGCATCCCTGTACATGTCTGGACTCTGCCTCATCACGAATGCTGCAGTGAAAAGTGTCATCCTAACAGGGGCGTAGGAAAGAGCGGGCGCACGGTCCACCCCAGGTGCCATCATGGAGTGGGGTGACAAATTAGCAAGGAACAATTACTGCCCTACTAGGGCGGTTCATAAAAAACTTTTTTTTTTAAATGCCTGCTCCAAAGGTCATATCTTACTACACTAGGGATTATATACTACATATGAAATTTCATGCATATCAGTTAATATCTTGACCCTCCTCCACGAAAATAGCTGTTTACTTGGCCGTTTTCCTTTGTCATGAAGGCTGAACTTTCAACAAAGCCTTTGCTAGATTCTTTTCGGGCACCTGCTAAAAGCATTCTTCTTTAGGCAAGCATACCTAGATGCTTAGGAAGTTGAAGTAATTTTAATCTTAATATTTTAGCTTGATTTTTTCTTGATTTTACTGCTGTGGTTTTTTGTTTTTTTTGTTTTGGTAAACCACTTTGCAGGTTTTTTAAAATAAATTTTAATAAATAAATAAACAATAAATATAAATAAAATAACACAAGCCAAAACACAATCCATCCTGTAGATTTAAGTATCTGTCCATAGTTGCCTACTTGTTATCAGAGGCTCAGAATCCACATTCCTTTGTAAGAAAATATGAAATAACAAAACTATTTTTGCAGGCAAAACACACACACACACACACACACACACAAAATGTGTGTGGGGTGACAAGAAATTTTCTGCACCGGGTACCACCTGACCTTCCTACACCTCTACATCCTAAAGCCAGAACTAGTAAGTATATATGAAGCTGCAACTATGCCATAAAAGCAGAAGAAAAGGAAGGCTCAATCTCTGATCTAGACAAAGCCACATGACTGACAAGCTCCAGATACATAATGAGGATTCCAGGCCATGTTCATCTAACAGCATCCTACACAACCCCTACGCAACAACCTCATTTGAAATTTAAGAGGATGTTCTAAAGCACCTATTAATGCCAAATAAAAAGCTGCTACTTGGTCAACAGCAGGCTTGTTGACAAGCTCTTGAGTTTGCCTCTGGTGGGTTCTCTGTATCACAGGTGCCCTTTCTAGAACAAGGGTGGTGAGCACCTAGCCCTTCAGACGTTGGATTACAATTCCCTTTATCCCTTGCTGGCTGGGACTGGTGGAAGCTGCAGTCCAGCAACATCTGGAGGCCTGCAGGTTGTTCATTCCTCTTTTAACAGTTACACTTCTGACAACAATGACTGATACCTAAGCCAAAAATACCCCTATGTGACCACTGCACCATTCTCCGATAATGCAAAATCTTAAAGGCAGCAAAGCAGCAGACTGCTGACATGCTACACACACCAGGCACACATGTATATGGGAGGTTTCCATCAGGCTCCGGCTAAGTGCTTGCATCAAGGAGATGACACTGCCCTCCCCAGGATTTCAGAAAAATAGCACCCTTTTTGCCTTACCTTGTTACCATCAGTTCCTGGTGGGCCGGATGGGCCACGGCTTCCAATGGAGCCTACAGGACCTACAGCACCACTTTGACCTGGAAGACCACGCTCACCCTGGAGGAAGCAGATGGGCAAGAAGTTAATTGGAATCTGAAGGCCTTGAATTTTGATAGCAAGCTTAGCATTTAGCACTGAAGCCTGGAAGATGCTAGTGGTACCACTATTTTTTGCTTCTTCGCTCATACATAGCTGATGAATGGGATCTAGGCTTAAGGGCAGGCCTTGCTCTTCTGCAGGAGTCCTGCATCTAAACAAGAACTCAGAGTGCTGCTCTCTAGATGCAGACATATTGTTGACAGCCCAGTTCCAAAGACACCGGGACAGAAGGAAGTCCCATTGGTTTCCATGGGACTCACTTCTGAGCCAGAGTGCTTAGGAGACTATCCCTTTACTTGGCTTTATCTCTTGGTCCAGAATTCAGTTCCTCCTTGTCAATATAAGGACATCAACTTGCAACTCTGCATATCCTATGCATTTTATGTATGCATGCTATATTCATGCAATATTTTACAATTTGATAATGCGCTATGCATGCCATACATGCATATATAAATTATACTGGACACCGAACACATTAATAACACTTAACAGATGCAGCTTTAACCGTATTATCTCAACATGTGTGTTGCTGTCCTCTGTACAAATCTTCAGAAGGTGAAAATGTGGTTTAGTGTATTGTAGGTGGAAGACTGGAAACGGCAGCCTTTCCCCTTGGGAAATCTTCCACAATGGAGATGAGGCATAGGAACCCAAGAAGCTGCCTTATACAGAGTTAAGCCATTTATCTCAGCAGTGTCTACTCTGACTGGGAGCAAACCTCCAGGGTTTCAGACAGGGGTCTTCCCCAGCCCTATGTGGGATTGCACCTATGAAATTCTGCATGCAGAGCATGTGTGTTACCACTGAGCTGTGGTCCTTTCTCCCAAACAGAAACCCACCCCAATAGCAGTGGTTATTCAAGGGTATTCTGAACGCATCTTTCTTAGTTCAAAGGCAGGTATTGCAGACTTTAGGAACAAAGCAAAGCACAGTGAAAAATAAACTTACTCTTGGACCAGCAGGACCAGCAGGACCGAAATCACCATGAAGACCCTATGCACAAAAGAGAGAAAGAGAGAGACAGGTTACTTAACTTTGAACGTGTTTTCCTTACTGTCATTTTAAGAATTATTATAGCTACCGACTGAGGTTATTTCAATCCAGTGAGATAAAAAAGGAGATGCACATTTTGATCTCAAAGCTGTGGTACAGCAGAACATAGGGCTCAAGCCACAAGAAAGAATTTGACTCTGTTGTTGCGTTCCTTCTCATTCTCTCTTGCAGGTTGGCAGACAACCTCACAGGGTTGTTGTGAGGATGAGGAAGGGACCAGTCATGCACACCACCATTGGAGTAATGGTGGGATAAAAAAACCCCAACCAATGACCAATAAAGAAGACATATATTTTAAATCTGTGTGTATTCACAGGAAGGGGGGGGGAGGGAACCTACCAGTTTAACCGATTAAGTGGCCATACTTCTAAGGGTCAAATGTGGTTGTTGTTTTGTTTTGTTTATTTACAAGAGTGTTTTCCATGCTGCACACTGTGTTATCCATATTCACAAGCCAAAAACAAAGGAGCCAAGGATGTCCAGTTGGCTGGAGCAACTCAGGGCAGGTACACTGAATCAAATTAACTTCCTCCTCAGTTCGAGAGGGGATGTCAGACAAACTATGCCGAAATATTCCTACAGTGTGCTGTAAGCACTGACCATGCTGCATTAGGGTTACATCAGGGAAAATGTAAAGGGCCATTGCTAGAACCACAGCACAGGGACTGCTATGGAGCTTGTCCCTACAGAGCTTGTCCCTACAGGGAGCCAGAGACATTCCCTCATGTCTCTTTAGAGGAAGTATGCTAACCTGCTTTTCTCCCGGCCACATTGGACACCTGCTTATGACAGATGGGCAGCATGATTTCTCTCACTGCGGTTAGACAGGCACAGACTTTCTCTCTGTTACCCTACCAAGATTTGGGGCACTGCATTTGTGTGGTTCAGAAAAAAACACATCTTATCCATAAATGTATTGTGTTCAATTACCCTTTCGCCTGGTTTGCCAGCTTCACCAACTGGGCCTGAGGGACCTGGAAGACCCTAAAACAAAAAGAAATAGATGGCAATAATCAACAACCCACAATCCTTTTGTGTATTATGAAAAGTCACAGGTGAGCCTGTGCAAAAGTATTAGTAAACACAGTCTAAAATGTGAGGGCTCTTATGCCTCACAGGCTTCATTCAAGATACAGGAACACAGGATACTGACTTCCTGTCAGAGCGTTGGTCTTTTTAGCTCAGTATTGTCCACATTTATACTGGCAGAAGCTCTCCCAGGTTTCAGGCAGGGGATATTCCCAGTCCCATCTGCAGATGCTGGGGACTGAACGTGGGATATTCTGTATAGGCAACTCCCCGTTTACGAGGGGGGTTATGTTGCCAGGCACCCGTGTGTTTAAGTAAAATCGCATGTGTTGGGAGCACAGTTGAAAAAGCCTGCAAACATCCTCCAAACCTCCTTGCTCAAACTCTAACTCTCCACAGGCCCCAAAGGTCCTGTGGTTGCGCTTGCAAAGGCTTGTGGGATTGCTAGTTGCTGTTTTTACGCCATTTTGCCATTTCCGCATTCTTTCAGGGCTGTTTTTGCCCCTTTGTGTCCCACTTCTGGGTTCCTGTGCACCGTCACACATGCCTTGAACACACATAAATGGGGAGTTGCCTGTACAAAATGCACATGGACTGAAACATCTATGGATTACTATTGCTGTTCTCTGCCCAAACCAACTTTTTATTGTAATTTGAGTGGTAAGCCTCAGATCTTAAAACAGCTCTTCCCTTCACTGAAGTGCATTATACAGATTTTCAGGATGACTCCCTTATATGAAAACCAAGCCATGTGCAAGACAACTCCTTGCAAGACCACATTAAGAGATTCTTAAGAAAGATGTGGGTTAAATCAATTCAAATTATCTACCACTCCTGTTTTTGTACACTAAACACATTTATACTCTGTGCCTTGTGCACTGTATAAGCCAAGACATACTGAAATGCTTCTGATCATTTGTTCTTTGCACAGTTTCCAACTGCAAACAGTGCAAAATTTGCGTTAACATTAGCTAGTAAGAAAGACCGTATTTGTTTAAGGAGAGCAAGGGATGCAAATTTTGGCCTCTGATCCTGACCAGGACACCAAGGGCCACTGAGAGGCTGCCTCCCAGGAGCATCACTGTAATGGGGAGAGCAACATAACCCCACCTATCAGCCACTGAAGGAGCAGCTGCTCCAATCCTTGCTTTCCTCATCCCTTCCCATTCCTTTTTCCTTTTCTGCTGTGTTTATTAGAACTTGTGCGAACTTGTGCACAGAGACCCTCTTATGTTTTAATGGGTGTACAGTGCTTAAAATGTTTCAGGCACTTGTTAAATAATAATATTTGTATTTTCATCATCCTCACCACCATCACCACTTACTTGGAAGCCAGGAGCACCAGCTGGGCCAGTTTCACCTTTAGCACCAGGGTTGCCCTAGAGGAATTAAAAGACAGAATCAAAATAAGCATGCAAAGCCTTTGGAGCGGAAGCATGGCTAGACAGCTCCCCACCCCCGACTTTTCTCTGTATTAAAATCAAGGAAGTTCAATGGCCACAATGAAATAGGCAACTGTCCCCCTGCAAAGTTACCCAAAGAAAGGCACATGGAGATCAGTGCCCTCCATTGAAGTTAATGGGCAGACACAGGTAGTGGAACTCTGCGTTTGTGTCAAAGGTTAACAATGATGATCATGTACTTACAACAACACCAATTGGACCTTGAGCACCGTTATTTCCCTCGGGACCAGGAGCACCCTACAATAACAGAGGGATGAGTTACGTAAGATATGGACAATATACACCATGTTTGTTATCTTCCTAAAAATAAAATGGTGTCACCTTAGCTGACTATCTACTTAATGGACGAGGTGTTCCCCACATGAGATGTAATCCAATGACTTTGAGCATTGGTACCATGTAGAAGCTAACTTATGGCACATGTACACATACACAGGCACACAAACACATTCCTTGCTTGCACACATGGTAGAGTTGCTCCACAAAACAAGCAACTGTTTCATTTGCATTAAAAATGGAAGATAATAGACAGGTAGACAGGTAGTATAGCCCTCCCTTAGAGGTTGGCAATTCCTGTACAGATCCTGCTCTCTTAACTAAGGCATGTTCATTGGGACATAAGATAGCTGCACATACCCGTTGGCCAGCAACACCAACATTGCCTCTGTCACCAGGTTTGCCAGGCTCACCCTATGGCAGAAAGAAAAGAAAATGAAAATAAGATTAAAACAAATATCAACTACGCTCAAGTTCCTTTAATTGGGCTGATGCGCCTCCTCTATTTCCGAAAACCCACCTGTGCTCTCTGAGACAGATTTGCTGCCCCTCCTACTTATGGTTTCCACCTGTCTGCTCACAAATCCCCTGTCCCAGAGGGAACAGGCAAATGTCTAGTGATGGCAGGAAGCACGAGAAGAAGCAGTTCTCTCCCCAGGAAGCCAGCAGGGCCTCCACTAAGGGCATTTAGCCTAAGGACCTCCCCCCCCCAGCCCCAAACCTGGGCAGGGCATTGATATGGACTGTAACCTTACACTAGCACTGTAGTGCCATCACTCTGGCATTTGTTGCTGGGTTACCAGAAAGATTAACATGAGGACACGAAGTTGGTGTTGCAGACAATTTCTCATGCTACCAGGCTGTTATATGGTGGTCCCCCCCCCCCAAGCTCCATTGCACTTACATTGGGACCTTTAGGTCCTGGGAATCCAATGATGCCAGGTTCACCTCTTGGACCAGCGGGACCAGTTGGGCCAGGTCTACCATCAGCACCAGCCAGACCCTAGAGGAGGGAAACAAACCACATTGATTTTATCCTAGGTATATTGCTTGACCTCCACTGAGAGCAGCACACTTCTAATGAAGACATTATATCTATATTGCATATCAATACATTACATATCAATATCATGATGCTGTAGACTATATTATACCTATGCTATAGATGCTACATTACATATCAATATCACGATGCAACCTAGCCTCTAGACTCACCCTCTTTTTCTTCCCAGATCTACAACAGGCTTCCTCAGCCTGATGTTATTGGGTTCCCAACTCCCAAGACCATTGGCCATGTTGGCTGTGGATGATGGGAGTTGTAGTCCAACAACATCTGGAAGACACCTGACCTGGTTGAGGAAAGCCGGAAAGGGGGAAGTTCTGCTGCAGGCCTGTGTTCAGAGGCCTGTCTGGAAGCTTCTGTGAAACCATTTTAATAAACCAGCACCTGTGCAGAGCCTGAATCAGTAGACAAGGTTCAACAGACACCGCAGTGATGATTTCCTAAACTGGCCTGTACTTGGGCCTGGGATGGCAGAACGGCTTTGAACATGGGAATGTCCCAGGCTCAGACTCTGTGCTCACCAATGATCTCTTGAGAAAATTGCTCAGGGACTTGCAGGATGCTGATGACAGTGCACCTGGGAGAGGGGACCAGTGAACTGTACCAGCCAGGAGGCAACAGTCGGAGGCAGGGGATGCTTCAGAGCGGGAGGGTGGAGCACAGGATGGGTTGGAAGAAGCGAAGGAAGAGGCAGGTTGGGCAAGTGAGGGGCTGTGTGTGCTGCCCCACCCTCTCTTGCACCACTGCCTCCCAGAACCAGGAGGCGATTGAAGAGGGAAGATCAGAGACAACTTCTAGGCAGATGTAGTCTCAGGCTGTGTGGACACAGCCTGTCGAGCAAGGCACATAAACTGGTAGAGAGGGTGTGCCCCCTTGTTGCTGCAACTGCTCCATAGATCACAGACCAGGGAATAGTTGCCTGGACCCTAGACTGGTGTGTGTGGGTATCTGGAATGATAGAAACTACTAAGTGTCCACTTTTGACAATATTGTGTTAGCGATCTACTATGTGCATTCCTTTGCCTAGGGAGCACCGTGACACCAGGCTAAACAGAACAAGAATGTTATAGAACACAGCTGTGGACATTACTTATAAGTCTATAACTGTTAACTGAAATCTACATTTTAAAAAAATGATATATTTGTAGGGTAAAGTGTGGGCTACTTACAGGAAGACCTTCTTTGCCAGCAGGGCCTGGGCTTCCAGATTGACCAGGGAGACCCTAAAAAGCACAGACGTTTCATCTTAGTATCATCTTTGGAGCTTATTTCAAACAGAAATGTAAGAATTCCTCCTCCCTCCCTCTTTCAGACACCCACCACTTAAATATATGCACAAATATAGTATAAAGGCTTGTTGCTATTAGGGAGAGAGGAGACTTTGGTCTGGCCTGCATTTTTTAAGTGAATGGGCCTCATTTTCAACCCAGCAACGTGGATCAGATTGTAATTATCTTCCAATTTAGAACTTCTCCAAATTTTGCCTTTTTGGCTCAAAAAACGTATTGAAATGCTTGTTTTAGGATAAAATGTGCACTGCCAGGTTCACCTCGTGGACCAGCTGGACTTTTTAAATAGATTAATGGAGAAATGGGCTGGAATTGATTTATCAATGAACACGACAGAAATTGATGCAGACTGGAAGTAGTAACAAGCAATTGACAGATCAGTCTATCTACCAATTAAATTCATGTTTACTGGGAAATGTCCATATTGAACTCATTGGGATTTCCTCCCAAATCACAGTGCAATCTTACACATGTTTAGTAAGCAGGTATGTATAGGGCTGCACATTACCTAAGCTCATTGTGCTTAACCCCAGGTAAGTTAGGATATGGGTGCAACCCAAATATCCACTGCAGCCTTAGTCTCATATCTGTATAATGGGAATACGAATAATCTCACAACATGGTCGTAAGAGTTGAATATAGTGCTGAATATAAAGTTCTCATAACCAAACATTACTAACCATCACCATAAGTCATACTGCATTTTTAAAATGGACCATTTTTAAAATGCAAGCATTACTGAAGGCGAAATGGAAACCCTCTATTTATTTGGATGCTGCTGCCTTGCAACGTCACACGATCCTCATCCTCACCCTTGATACTTACTCTTGCACCCATGAGACCAGGTTCACCGGGGCGTCCAGAATCACCATTGGGACCTTTAGCACCAGCAGCACCAGTAGCACCACGATTACCAACAGCTCCCTACAGAGGAGAAACGAACCCACAACCAGCTCCAATGAGAGGGAGCAACAACGGCAAGAAGAACATCTCTTCAAAAGAAAGAAAAGAAGCAGCAGAAGGAGAAGGTAGCTCACCATAACACCAGCTCTGCCATCAGCTCCAGGGAGACCACGAGATCCAGGAACACCCTATGAAGGAAAAGAACACACAAATATCTGGTCAGAAAAGAAGAGAGAGTTTTAGGCAACAGGCAAAGGAAAGGCTTGCTACAGCTAAGGATTTACAAAGGAATGCTTGGCATTTGTGATGGGATTGGGGCCTCCTGAGAAAGCGACTTTTCCTTCGCTTAATAAAAATAGTTGAACTGGGCACACACGCACCCAATGGCTGGAGTGAAGTCAAAATGGGATGGTATCCCAGGGGCTTTTGCTGCCTTTATGTCCCCTTCCCCCTGTTCCATGCACTGAAACTGACCAGACCAGAAGCCGAGTTTTATTTCAATCCTGGCAACGAGACACCAAGTTCCACAACACCTGAAGGCATCAGGTATATTCTGATTGGCACTTGCAGCTCTGTCCTCCAACACCTGAATGGCACTCCTCACCCTCCCCAGCACCCACTGCGTAAGGTGACTGCCTCACCCTGCCCAATGATAGGGCCAGTCCATGAGAGAGATTCCAGTGGTCTTTAGAGGCTGCTGTAGAGCCCAATAAAGAGAATGGCAAGCTCTCAACTGGAATGGCAGGTACCATTTCAAAAAGGCCAGTACAGCTCTGGGAACCAGCAGGGTTGAATTTATAGTGGCAGGTGAAAACTGATAAAGCAGACCAGGTGAAAAACAACCTGGGACAGCCTTGTGGATATTATGAGGCTACCTTCACTACCTGACATTATCCTGCAATGACCATAATGTGTGCTGCCGGGAACAGTATCAAAGCGCTGTCATCAGTGAGCTTGTAGACTGTGAAAATGAGCTAACCACCAAGGCCTTCAGGACTTTTACAATGCACTGCAACCCAGGCCCACAGGACAAAAGGAATGGTTTATCCCAACGGGGGGAAATCAGGACCAATTCACCCATTCGATTTAGCCACTAGAGGAAGCATTCCTGTTAAGTGATCTCTTATGCCTCAGCATCCATGGAAAAATAATTTGTGAACATGTGCATGCAAATTGCTTCTTCTTCCAGTGCTAGATCTGGAGATTGGCAATATGCAGCTTTGGCAAGGAACAGTTTTTCCTGTATAACACAGTATGTTTCCACTGCTATGCAGGCAAGGAGATTACACACGGGACTGATCCAATGGCTAGAAAATACAATGTGCAGCTAAGCTGTCATTGTCGCAAGAGTTGGTTCTAGATCTGTGCCAGATTCTGAGCCCAGCCCCCAAAGGAACAACTGAACAAAGTTTGAGCAAAATTCAGCATGTCATGAGAAGCGCTGATTATTTTGCAAAAATTAGCCCTACTGTGTCCCCAATGCACCAAGTTCTAAAGAAGCAAAAAGCCCTTTGACACAGTTTTAATTGAACAATCATATATTCTCAATGCACAAGTAGAATCATTGTTCATTATCCTCATTTACTACTGCTGCTGCTACTACACGTTGGCAGCTAGTGATTTATTTATTTTTACAAAATCCACAATTACTTTGAAAATATTTCAGGATGTTGGCTATCTAGCTGAGATGCCGCAGCTGATCTCTTGCTTAAGGCTAAAAGAATGGCCTTTGTCAGAGCAGGCCCTCTGGTAGCCCAGCACTGACTACCACATTGGAGAGAGACTAGGGTCTCAGGTAGTGCCTTCTCCTAGCCCAGCTACTTGGAATACTTTAACTGGAACCTTAGGTCCTCTACAGACTCCATCAAGCCATGACCTGCCCACGTATGCACATACATTGGAACATTGTCTGGTGTAGACAAGAATGCCCCTTCAAGCACAGGTAGGTGTGGTCATGTTAATCCCACAGGAATTTAGGAAGCCACCCTATATACCAAGTCAAACTATTTGTCTATCTACTCTGACCAGCAACATCAGCTCTCTAGGATCTCAGGCAGAGGAAGGTCTTCCACCTGTTACCTGATCCTTTAACTGGAGATGTCCAGGATGGAAATTGGGGCCTTCTGCATAAAGAATTAACATGTATATTCAGCCCAGTACCAATTATACTTCAGTTGGTAGAGCATGAGACTCTTGATCTCAGAGCTGTGGGTTCATATTCTCAGAGCTGGGCAAAATATTCCTGCGTGGCAGTGGGCGTCCTTTCCAACTCCATGTTCTACCTCTGTGGATTTCCCTGGTGTTTTCTATTGGGTTGGGTTTTTGTTTCCTTTTGTAGCACACTTACTCTTAAACCTGCAGATCCAGGTGCCCCAGTCGAGCCAGGCTCGCCGTTGGAACCCCTCTTGCCTTCCTCACCACTTGGTCCAGCAGGGCCAGCAGGGCCGGAAGCGCCCTGTCGGGTAGGAAAGAGAGCAAAACAAGCCACCATTTTGAGAAACAGGCTGCATGATGGGGGGGAAAACAGAATCAACTGTGATTTCCACCACATAGATAGCAGTGCTTCATGTAGTAAAGATACTCACAGGCTCTCCCTTGTTACCGGTCTCTCCCTTGGATCCAGCGGGGCCAGGTTCACCCTGGAGTCAAACAGAACAAGAGATCCCAACAGTGAACACTATGAATTCACACACACTGTTTTTCTTCTTCTGAACATCTGGGCTGCAAAGTTATCCAAGCAACTAAGAACTGCAGCAAAACGGCCTAGCAGCAGCATCTCATGCAACGATACTCCCCGAACAAGTCTGTACATGCCCACTCAAGAGTTGGTTCCTACTTAAATCAATGGGTCCCCCCCCGCCCCCACCTTACAGGTAACCGATATAGGATTGCAGCTTCAGTCATCCAAATTGGGCTGTTCCTAGCCCAGATTTGTGCTTGAATTATGGGGGGGGGGGTTAAACCCATATGTCTCACTCCCCAAATCATCCCATTACCCTGTAGCCTTACAAACAGTAGCTGGCACAGAATGCAAGAGGGCCAGGCCTGCTCTGTCTCCCTTGCCCTGACCCTGGTCATTTAAGCACTGGCTTGGATGGTGTGTTTATTGAAGGAAGCGAATCATCAATGCAGCACAATAGGGGAATAAGTTGTGCCCAGTTCTATGTTAATATGCAGTTACCAATTCACATCTGACTTAAGTCATGGACAAACTTCATGGCTCCAGTATCCTCCCCAATATTGGTCTCCCTTACAGAGCTGCTGTAAGGATTGCCACTGTAAGAACAATTCTTTCATTGGCAAAGTTGACATAAAAGAGAGAATCTGTAACAGTGACTGTCATTGGCATTAGACATTAACAGCTTGGTGCAAAACTGCACTAGACCAACAGAAGGCAAAATAACCCCAGACGTTTTACATTATCAGACACCGCTTCACACTTGGTTGGATATTAACCATGGAGCAATGGTAGCAAATGGTCTAGCAAGGGCATCGGGCAACTATGTGCCAGCCAGGGCGGCCTAAAGTCAGAGCAAGCCCAGATGCCGGCAGGCAAGACCAGCATCCTAAGCACGAAAGCAACTCAGACACTAAAATGATGCCCTGCTGGCCTTTGTGGAAGCCACATATCCCCCCTGGGGTCTGTGGAATTGGAGGGAAGCACCTGCTGGCCTCTGCCACTGGACAGGAGACCAAGGATCACTGGGGAGGCTGCACTGCCTGCTCCCGTCTCCCAGGAAGAACATCATGGAAATGAGAGGACCAACCTGGCTTATCGGCCAGGTAAGGAGCAGCTTCAGGGGGTGGGTTGTTCCCTCCCTCCAGTTCCTGGGGCTGGAGAGCAGAGGAACAAAGGCTGCTGGGTTGTGCATGTGTGTATTATTGTGTAGCTGCATGACGGGTGATCTGGGAGAAACCTGCTGTTTGTAAGATGCTTTGATAATCACTTGACTGAAAGGCAGGCCATGCATTGTCAAAAACACAGGACCCATAAATTGCAAAAAGGAGGCATATATGGTAGATAGCATCACTTACAACAAGTCCTCTAGCTCCAGAAGCACCAGCGGGGCCAGCAGCGCCAATCATACCACGGGGACCGGGCAGGCCAGGAGCACCAGCTGGACCGGGAAGACCCTGCCCAGAAAGGAGAGAGAAGGAGGAGAACACATGTCAGAACTCTCCTCTGTAGCGCCACAGAAGCTTTTCCTATGGGACAATCCAGTTTGACGCCTGCATACTTACAGCTGCGCCTTTAGCACCATTAATGCCGTTGTTACCAGGGTTACCCTAAGAGAGAGAGAGAAAACGATAATGTTAGGTTTTAGATATATATGATCGCCTGCTCATGTTATCTAGGCATATTGGTTTAGGGGTTTGTGTGTGTGTGTGTGTGTGTGTGTGTGTGTGTGTGTGTGTGCAAACTGCTTAGATGTTTCTTTATGCCCAAGCGACATATATAAACGAAATAATTCAAAAGCAGATGCAAGGAACCACATTCATCAGTACAAGAAGCTTCAAGGGTAACTTACTGGAGGGCCAACAGGACCGGAAGCACCAGGGAGTCCAACCTCACCACGAGGGCCAGCAGGGCCAGAGGGACCCGTGTTGCCAGCAGAACCAACTTCACCCTGTTTGGGAAGAGAGGATGTGTGTGGTGAACGCTGAGTGTTCAGTGTATGATTCATTTCAGCACTTATTAAACCTATACTACTCTAATCAGGCTTAAAACAAAATCAAAACAAAGATAACATCCCCAGTGTGGCTGTCTCTGTTAAGATGAGCACTAGATGGTACAGTAATCATGATCCAATTGCAGCAAATAGTTCAGCAAAAGAGAAGATATGCTAGCCTTGTTGTTGCTATTATGGAAAGGAGGCGTTAGGGCTCTGACAGGGCCCTGGAGTCCTCCTGCCTCCTTACAAAAGCAGGGGAAGTGCCTACCGGGCTTTGGGAAGGAGGTGGAAGGGCTCTAGGGCCCTGCCAGAGCCTCACACCTCCTCCCCAAAGCTCAGCTTAAGCCTGTGCCCTTGCACAGGGTGGCATATTACCAAGGTCTGCCCCTGTGTGCTGGAATATGCAGGCTTTTGTGGATCTACAACATCCATATGAAGACATCATATGCTGTGCCAGTGCCACATTAGCCTTCCTGATAGAAAAGCAAGTGCTTTATCTTTCTCTCTAGCTAGGTGCACAATTTCGTTACTGCCCATCTTTGCCTGGCTATTACAAACTGACCCAATCATCATGACCACTAGAACTAGCTCAACAAGAAATAATTTAATCTGCAATTTCCGCATATGCCATTAATTTTTCTTGCTTACAGGAGGGCAAATGCAGTTATGCGACTCTATCCTAAGTGAACAGCTAACCACTGATTCCCCCCCCCCCAATGGTTTGGGGAAAAACAGCACCAAATATCTCCCCTAATGCAAGATGTATATTTTTGGCATAGGGACAGAACCAGTTCTGTCTCTCTGCTCTTTGGTCCAGCAAAGTCTTACATGAGCTGAAATGATGATTTTCCCCAAACCCCCTTCTTTGCCCTCCACACTGCTTACCAGAGGATGCCCTAGCTCTCTGGAGCAGGGGGCTGCAGAGAGAAGGAGGAATTGGCAAAAGACCACCTTTCCTCCTTTTCACTAATGCATGCTGCCTTGTGACAGTGGAGGGACACCACTAGATACAGCCCACTGTGTGAAACAAACCAAATAGCATCACACTTTTGCATTTCAACTGCAATTTGATTAGTTTAAAGAAAACTACAAATGGTTGTTGTGAGTGTTTGCAGGTGGGAACAACCTGTATTCTTCTCATTGTACAGCTAAAGCATTGCTTGGTTTGAAAACATTTCGTTGAGCATCTGTGCCTGAGGGGGTGGAATATAGGTCATACCTTGGCTCCGGGAGCACCTGAGAATCCTGGAGCTCCAGCAGCACCCATGGGACCCTGTGAAAATAAAGAAAGAGAAATCCTTCAAGATCTGCAGGTGCAAATAGTAGGCTGAGAAGGAGACAAAGGAAAGAGGCCAGGCCATAGGAATCAATGACCAGGATACATCTCATGGGATTCTGAAGCAACAAAGTGGATTGCCTACATGACAACAGATTTGAGTCCTAGAACAAGGTTTGAATCCGATCTTAGAGCCAAACGCATGAAAATGTCTCCTTGCTTTTTTGCACGCCAGTGCCCCCAAAGCAGGCCTGCAAAACATGGGACCCCTGCCAGGTTTTCCCAGCCCAGGGAGATGGCAAGGCAGGAGGTTTCATCACTCTCAGTTCTGACGTTTTAATCAGAACGTGGCATTTCCATCATTCTCTTTATATCTGATGTTCAGGCATAAGTGCTGCTGCTTATGTAGCCGAAACAGCACCATATCTGCACACAATGGAGGAGAATCGGCAGACTTGGGGGAGATCTTGAGGTCTGCAGGAGCACCTCCAACCCACTCCCCACACCAAAAAACAACAACCAGGAAAAGGACCCGTGTAGGAGGAGGAGAAAAAAATCCATTGAGGACTGAGCATGTTCACTGGGCACAAAATGCCAAGGAAGGGGATATGGCTCAATACGTAGCTTGCCAGGTCCATCATAAGAGGTGCCAGGGCATCACTGCTGTCATTATAAGCCTTGCTTCTGGGCAAATGCACCTCTGTGTGTGCATGGATCCAGAAACAAGAATGCTTTGTGTCTCTGTTTGGCCTCCCCTGAGCTAAGAACCATCTTAAAACCTTTAAGGTAGAATAAGGATGTATTTTGCTGCTTCTCTGTTTAACATGCTTGCCTGGCTGCTAGGATAAAAAAGCACCCACTTTCTAGATGTTTCATTTAAAGTGGGGGGGGGGGCAGGGACCCAACACTGCATTAGTTACAAAACGAGAGAGCGCAATTTTTAGCATCGCTTGCGAAAGTGCAACAGAATGTGTTAAAAAATTGAGGTGCTGTATATCCAGCCTTAGAGCAATGTACTAATCACACTGGTAGTAACTGACCTACTCCTTCCTGAGTTGGCCAGGAGACAACGTGATTGGTTCGCTGCCTAGGCTAGACACTGGATATTCCAGGATATAAAGCAGGGTTGGGAAACGGATGTCACACAGACTCCTGTGGACATCTTTCTCCTGTGGTCAATCTCCAAATTCCCAAGGGGAGGGGCACTTGGAGAAAGAAAGCCTCATGTTCCGTTTTTGAATCAGCCAATTTGCCCCCACACCAGAGGCAGGAATGCTTGAAGAATTCAGAATCTGTGAATTCTTATGCAGACTGATCCGCTACACACCTCCTGGACTAATGTGTGGATCAGAAATGCAATCATCCTTTGGATTTCACATTTCTGCAAATTTCATGATACAATTATTCTCAGCTCAAAAAATGTATCCCAATGTGTTGTTTAAACATTTTCACTTTAGCATAACATATGCTTGGGAAGGTGTACAATGAGATAAAGTATGCACTTCAATACAGTGGTTTTAAAAAATGGCAGATTAATCTGGAAGTGGGATGGAACAGATTTATTGAATGAACACATGCAAAATTGGCATGGAGCACAAATAACACTGATTAATCCATCGCTTCCTAAGAGTAGCTGCTTTATAAGCAGTGTACAAGGCATATCTTTTTATCTCAGCGGCTAAACACCATCAGAAAACTGATGAGGAAAAGGGATCTTCAGATATATATATATGTATATTTAACTACAGAGCCTGGATTGCCACTAGTCAGGCTGCTGAAGAGGGCCAATAATGTCGCTATCTGTGCAGGGAGAGCTCCCACAGCTTCTATGCGGCTTAGGCTGGGCAAATCCAGTCATCACTGCGAAAGCAGTCAGTCCAAAACACTGGATTTCAGGCTTGAGCTGAGAAGTCTGTGGAAGCACCCTGAGAATACTACTACTGTTTTGGACAGCTCTTTGATGCCTAACTGGAAATGCCAAATGTTTGTTTCTGAAATAGAAGGAAAGAAAGAAAAGATTTCCTTTTCTGCAACTGATAAAGGGCAGAGAAAAAGACAGGAGTCCATCGCACAGAGAAATCCAAGTGCCTGGCAGGTCACAGTGTGTGTTGTTCATCAGGACAGAAAGACAGAACATTAAAGTTTGGACTTACAGCGGGACCAGTGGGACCGTTACTTCCATCACTGCCACGAGCCCCCTAAAAGAAAACAAAGGTTCTCTTTACATCTTAAATTCCTGGTACAAAATTGAAGAATCCAAAAGAAAGAAAACGGAAGCCACATTGTACAGGTAGGGGAGTCACTTACAACTGCGCCAGGAGCACCAACTCTTCCCCTTTCACCAGGGAGACCACGAGCACCCTGAAAGCAAAGGACACGCAAATCATTACTGAATATTTCTTTACTTCATTTAATAAATTTCTACAGCACCCTTCATCAGAGGATCACAAGGTGGTTTATGATATAGAAACTCAAAAATTCGTAACGTTGTTTAGCAAACAAAAACAATACCCCGCACAATATTATTTTCTTTCTAGTACTAGTAGTAATAATAATAAGCTGCAGTGCAATATGAAGTATAGTCTAGTATAGCTTCAGTCTTTCTCGGTTTCCACAATAGGGTGCAATGCTCCTGATTCAAGTTATGCATGCTCAACTCAGATTTAATTCAGTGGGATTGGCACACACCCAAGTGAGCAAAGGACTGCAGATTTACTGCTGCCCGAAACACAGTAAGTCATATATTTTAATCAAATAGCATCATTTCTATTGAACACTGAGAATTCCATGAAAGCAACTAGCAAACTTTAACAAATGATAACAGGATTTTTGATGACTTAATATTGTGTAAGTCACAGAGAGAAAATACTTACAGGTTGTCCGGGAGTACCATTTTCACCAGGGGCACCAGGTTCGCCCTGCGAATGACAACGATTCTCCATTTAGCCCATGGTTTAGGTTGTCCTTTCCTTGCAAGTCTTATTACTGACTTAGCAAAAGATGCATTCAGAACGTTTACACTTCTGGCATTTAAATTAGTACACAAAAGTTCATACAAAGTAAAGCCTCTTATCAGCTTAGTGATCTAGTTAGCAAAGAGGGTTTGCAGAAGAGGGATAGAACAAATGTTGGCTGTAGCCCAGATAAAATGCGCAAAAGTAAAGGAAAAAGCTAACTGTGTGACAATCTTATGCCCCATTAATTTCACTGGAGCTGAAGTGTGACTCTTGGGACTGAGATAAACATGCTTTGCTAAAGGCAGCCACCACAATTGCATGCATGTGTCTGGACAGGTTGATCTATAAAGGTCTCATATACCATGAAGCTAACAGATGCACAGATTTCAGCCAAAGAAACTCTACTGGTATCTGCCAAAGTTGATACAGGCTGATGCAACAGGACCTGGGAAAAGCTCTAGCTTTTCTATCTGGGCTTTTGCACTCCCTCTCCTGCCATGTGGTTGCAAGGAAAGGCTTTCTACATTTTCTCTTCCAATTTCAACTAACCAGCTGAGGGCCACATGTGAAACTGAACCCAGTATTAACTGTAACTATGGTTTGTTGAGACAAACCAGCTTCATAACCCATAGCCTGAACTCAAATGGTTTCAGACAAGCCACAGTTAATATTAGCCACAGTTTCAACACAGCAAGCGATGGTTAATCGAAAATGGAAGCGAAAGCTTTCAAAAAGCCTCCTTGTGTCCGTACTAGAGGAGGAGGGAAGAGGGGGGAGATTAAGCTAAGCTTCTTCCTGACTCTCCCTGAGCCTGGGTCTTCATTTAGCTAGAAGGCCAACCCATCTCCTTGTGATCAATACAGGAGGCCCCATCCCTCAACGTTGGCTTGCTTTGGGACCAATGGAGCAACTTGTATTTTTCTCAGCTTTCTGTTTCCATAGTTTTTTGACTGAGAGTGGTGTTATCTACCCAGCTGCATTTCAAAGCGCCATTTGGTTTGCTGGCTCCACCTCTGAGCTAACATGAAAACAGAAATAAGACAAAGGAATATCTGAGATTCCTGGCTGTAAAGCAAGTTTAAAAGCTCTCGTTTCCCACATATCCTATTTTGATACTTGCACACTTAAGTCTCAAGAACACCTACTAGCTTCGGTTCACTCCAATAGTGAAAGGAGAGGCCTGTCAGTGCAAGCCAGTTCCTTATGAGACATGCATTTGCTGGCTTGCCTCAACACATGATTCTCACTATTTCTGATGTCCAGGCTGTGAGCGCCATTTCTTTTGTAGGAAAAATGGCAGCAAGCATAGTCTAGAGGGAGGAGCAGCAGGCCTGGCAGAACACCAAGGTTTGCAGAAGTAAAGTCCACCCCCCGAAAGGGGGGGGAACCTAAATTAGTCCAATACTAATGGAACATAGGAAGCATGTAACAAATCAGACCATTGCTCCAGCTAGCTCAGTGTTATCTACATTGACCAGCTGAGGCTCTCCAGAGTTTCCAGCAGGGTATCTCCCCAGCCCCACCTGGCAGATGCTGGGGAATAAACCTGGGGCCTTCTGCATGCCAAGCAGCATGACTAAGCAGCTTCTGGCGAACCAGAGCAGTGCACGGAAACGCCGTTTACCTTCCCGCTGGAGCGGTACCTATTTATCTATTTGCACTTTGACGTGCTTTCGAACTGCTAGGTTGGCAGGAGCTGAGACTGAGCAACAGGAGCTCACCCCGTCGTGGGGATTCGAACCGCTGACCTTCTGATCGGCAAGTCCTAGTCTGTGGTTTAACCCACAGCACCAACTGCGTCCCACATATGTATTTACATATGTATTTTTTGGGATTTCTAGTATTCCCCACACAAAAGGGGAAAACAATAAACCTGCAGGTACTAGAATTCCACTCTTGTCATACATGCACACACAGAGTTCATGAGCAACTCAGGCAGTGGCAGGGGCAAGTTCAAACTAGCCACATGCTTTGGGGGATTGGTGGAGGCTCCTACTGGCAATCCCAAGTTTCGGAGTCAGAACCAGAAGTGCAGAGTTCTTCCACCTCCTTGGATCCCCAGATGTTGTCAGACTCCACCTCCCATCAGCCCCAGCCTGCTTAACCAAAGGTTGAGGAAGGTTGGCTTAGAGCAAGCTGGCTATTTATTTCATCTTGCTCCCATGCTAGAATTTGGAACTGTGAGACTTTCTGTTGTGTCCATGTATCTCAAGGGCTTAGTACCAAATTGCTGTTGTCCTTCATTCATAGCATAGGCTGATTTTTCTTAGAAGGATAAAAGCCTACGAGAACAAAACATGCACGCAGGATATAAAACAGAAGGGCTGCCATGTACTCTGTGCTCTTGCTGGAATACCCATGTAACATATATTAAAATAAAGTCATTTTTACCTTGTTGCCGGGAGCACCAGGTTCTCCTTTCCGACCATCCAAACCGTTGTGTCCCTATGTTGGAAGAAGAAACACTGATGGGTAAAGTGCCCCCCCTAGTTCCCCCCTTTTTAAGGAAACCATTTCTTTATCATGCAGTGGTTGAAACACAACTCTAGCATTGCTCTGCATTCACCATATTGGTTCCCCCACTTGAAAAGGATCATCGTCAGTTAAGGAGGGACACAGTTGTCTTTCCTTAACATAGTTTGGTTCTGGTCTGCATCAGACACAAACTTTGACAGCCCTCTTCAGTTCGTATGTTTTTGTAGCTTTATAGATGACTATTACCGCTTCTCATTATTTATACAGTGCCTTCAACATGCGTGATGCTTTGAAAAGGGACTTCTTCCTCAAAAACCTAAAATTTGATACAGAGTGAAAAAACAGAGGAGGGGGAAAGTGGAAACAGGCAGGGACAGTGCAAGGCTTGGGGAGAAATGTTGCCAATGATGGCCCAGCAGTCCCCTAACCAGAGCAGGGCCTAGCCCTGCTTGTGGCAATGACAGCCTGCCACTGTTTGCTTCTCCTGCCACTGCTTTCTCTGTCACCATTCACCACCCTCCACCAGGCCCAAAGACATGCTTCAGCGGTGGAAAGGTGCTTTCAAATGGGAGAAAGCTTGGCTCCCATCCATGGTGGCCAGCTGCCATCTTAGATTACCCAGAAAGCAATGCTCCAGGCCCCATACCTATGAAATCTATTTCATAGTTCTGTAGTCCTACCTAGATAATATTTCAGAGACCTATGCATTCGACGTTACACTTTGGGTAATTTAAAAATGTGAGTGTCCACCGGGGATGGGAGTTGAGATTGGCTCCCACACAAAACCAGCACTGCTGCCTGCCACTGACAAACATCTGAGGGTCTGGCAGGGAGGGCAGTGAAGGATGGTATGGCTAGGCTAGTGGGCAGGTGCCCTTGACCAGTGCCCAACGTGGCCAACATTTGGCGCCAGGCCTGGAAACAGGGAAGCAACGCACAGTTGTTTAGGGAAATGCCTTTTCCCTAAAGGAGAAAAAACTGGCCTTTCTCAAGACAGTTAGAAAGGGCCACAGTAAACTAGGGGAATGTGGCAGACTAGGTGAACAGCGGTCATTGGCTGTTTTGATGAAGCAGTTACTACCACTTCCTTCGGGTGGAGAAGGAAAGTGGTATACAGGCTTCTTTTTGGTCTGCACTTAAATACTTCAAACTATACTTTAAAGTGCTGATTGTACGTTCAAAATTTTGTCAATGACATATCACAGACACATGCAGGACTTGGGACTAAACACCCTGTGAGATTTATGATCACACCTCCCTTAAGTTGATGGTCATTGCCATTCAAATGGCGTGTGCTTGCTGCATCATGTGATCAATAATGTGGGGCGGGACTTACCTGCCCCCCCCCCAATATTTTATTCAAGTTGGCATCCGCGATGAAGACAGAAGCTTTTTTTATTGCCACCTTGGCAAACAAGCCTTAGGCTTCTGTCTAAGACCAGTAGTTGCACAGAATAACACACCATAGATGTATTAACTGTCATTACCCTTAATTTTGTTCCTGTTTCAGTCAAATGCTCACCCTTATTCCTTTGAAACCAGGCAGGCCAGCAGTTCCAGGAAAGCCACGAGTACCCTGGGAGGGAAAATGAGAGAGAAGGCTTAACATCTCAAATAAAAGCTGCTAGACAAAGTACTTGGGTGCAATATGTTAGTCCCAGCCACCAAGGTGAGCTGCTTGCAAGTCTCATTGCCACAGTCACTGATCCCTCTATGCACTGCTTTTGCCTTTGGGTCAGGAAGCTGGCCTGACGCATAAGCCTACAAAGCTGTCCAGACTCATACAGAGTCAGACTATTTGTGCATACGGTCTACTCTGAGCAGCAGTGCTCCTCAAACAGAGAGCCTTTCCCACAAGCTACTGGCTGTTTTTAGCTGAAGATGTCGGGAATCAAACCTGAGACCTTCAGCATGCAAAGCACATCTTCTGTCATTGTGCTCTAGCCCCTCCCTTGTCTTTATGGGGGGGGGGGCTGGCTTATTTAGCTCAAGGGCTCCTGGTTGCTGATCCCTAGTATAAAATGTTCCAAATTCTGTTCATTTTATAGACTTATATGCCACACAACAAGCAAAGTATCTCAGAAGTGAACACGACCCATCCATAAAATTGCACAGAAGTACTTAATATCAGTGATTGATGCAGAAAGATGGAAAGACACAGCCCTATCCACTATAAAAGAATGGCTGATAAAACTATTGGACTTGGCTGAGATGGCAAAATTGAATTAGAGAAAAATAATTTACTGACATTTGTCAAGGACTGGAAATTTCTTATGGACTTTTTGCATGAAAGAGAAAATGATCTTAACACCTGGTTTATAGAAGATTGAATGGTTGGATCTTAAGGAATGAATGTCATATCATATGTAGCTGCAGGACAGAAAACCAGAAGTCATTTTATTTTTCCTCTTCTTTATCTTTCTTTAGTTTCTTCTTACTTTTCCTTTCCCCCCTCATTTTCTCTTTCTTTAGGTTTCTCCTTTTCTTGTCTTTTCTTCCTTCTGGCTTTGCTCTCTAACAGATTAAGTAGCTGTTTAATCTCAGTATATTATATTTAAAAAATGCTTGGATATGTATTTTTGTATACCTTTGAATAAGTACCAATAATGTTTTTTAAAAAATATTGGTATGCACTATCACATCAGATAATTTACTTGTTTAAACTGAAGGGCCTTAAACTGGAATTTGAAACAAATTTTTATTATTTTTTATTTATATTATTTTATTCTTATTTATTGAATTTATATAGTGCCCTATACCCAGAGGTACTGTTAATGCTTGTTTAATAGTAATAGTCTAGAGTTCCATAGCTTAGGAACAGATACACTACTACCATATTCCTTGTAGAATAAAAGTGAACATCATGTGGCAACCTTCATAGTGCTGCTCTCTGGCTAGGTGTTAAGATCCAGCAGGTGTAAATAGCTAGAATCTCTGCCTTAGTGGGAGGGTGGCATTGTACTTACACTAAAACTACTGGTAAGGAGTGGTGGCTGGTAATTTAATTTCCTATCCTGCAGTTATGCAAACAGATTTAATCAGCGGATTAAACAGGCAACAGAAAACACAAAACTCACCTGAGGTCCAGGAACACCCCTCTCACCAGGTCGTCCAGGTTTTCCAGGATGACCCTAATGAAACATTAGACGAGATGACTGAAATCTTTTGTGTGCAAAAGCAAGCGAGCTGCACATATTTAACATATCTCTATGCAAGGTATAAAAAAACATAATAACTTAAAAACTTACTAAACATGCAGCATCTTTCCCTCAGGAGACATAATGTCACATTTGAAGGCTATATTTCCTCCGATATTTTTAGGACAAGAACTTATGATGGAGGTGGTATTTAAGGTACTTATATTAAAGGGTATGGTAAGTCCTACTGAACTCAGAAGGGACTTACTTCCGCTCTGGGATTGCACTGCACATTTCTTAATTTCACAAAATGCAGATCTTTTTGGAGATACTTTTCAGAAACAGAACAGTTGGGAAATCCAGCTTTTTTAAAAAACCGAAGTGCTTCGGGGTTGCAGAATCCATTAAAATATCCTTAAAACTTTTAATACACTACAACACTGTGGTGGCATTCCAGTGGAATTTAGGAAACATGTTCAAGCAATCAAAACACATGGAAATGGAGCTTTCGTACCAGAAGTGATGGTTACAAGAGTGTGGGTGGGGATGGGACACAGAGGGCAGTCCATAACAAATGCTGATAACCAATGTTTGGAAAAGGAAATAGCTCCTACTGATTCCCCCTCCCCCACCAAAATCCCGGTTCAAATGAATACGTACATCTTCACCAGGCTTTCCAGGAGGACCCATTGGACCACGAGCACCTTGGGGACCCTAGTGATGGGGGAAAAAGGTTCATTTGAAACAAAACAATAGTTCTCTCATGCTACATATGATCTAGTGACTTGACTAAGCCAGAGTTCTAGATCTGAATTCTTTAATCCAAGCTTGCGGTGGGGGGCTCTTTATTTATGGCTTCTGGGTTTCAAAAAAAATATATATCAGAGGACTTGGTGTTTGGTCTGATTTCAGCTCCCCCAGTGGTCTCAAAGAGTTGCAGAAATCTAAAGCCTACCTGTCTAGCAAAAACCCTTTGTCTCCCTCAAGCTCTTTTATGTGTTTTCCCTCCGCTTTGAGGAAACCAAGCAGGCGTGGGCTCTAGCAGAATCAGAACTCGTTTCTTGCTTCTCCCACCCTTGCTAGCTTGCAAAGGAATCTCAGATAATAGGCCCAAACTTAAATCTGGGGGAAGGGCTTCATTGCAAATGGGTATTTCAGAATTCCTGTCATTCTCAGAATAGAATAAAAATGGTTCCACTTACTGTTTGACCAGGTTCACCGGGTTCACCAGCATGTCCCGCGTGGCCTGGAGAGCCCTAGAAGCAGGGTGGGCGACAAAAGACATTTTATACGGTTTTGAATGTTACGTGTGGGAAAAGTAAGTACTCTTCTAGCAATGGGGGTGTTTGGAGAAGAGAACTGGGCATGGAAGCAGAGTGAGATTTGGGGAGTTATAGGCTGTGATTCAGGCAAATGTTGGGGTCCTTCAACCCAGACCAGTCTAGACCAGACCAGGTGGACCAGTGATAACATGGAGAGATACCAGGCAAACACATTGTGTGTTTTGGGCCTTCTGGGCAAGAACACGAAGGTGCAAACTGGGAAGAGAACCAGGAAACTGTGAAAGCAGAAAGGTCATGGCTCATCAGTTTGTAAACTGAGAACTATATCAGGGGACTGACAACAGCAGTCCCGGACCTGTCAATATAGGGCACCTCTTATACATGTGGGGTTACCTGCTTAGGGTCTAGTCAAGGCAAAACTTGTGTAACTGATGCTTTCTGCATGTGTATCAAACATATCTCTCTTCCTACTAATGGCTGTGTTCCAAATATACTTACAGGGGGTCCAGTTACTCCAGGAGGGCCTCTGGGTCCCATTATACCCTGGGAAAAGTTAAAGAAATAGTTAATATACTGCAATAGTAAAATGATGGTCCAGCTAGTGGTTTCAGTATCACTTAGGCTGCAATCCTGAGCTGCACTTACTTGGGACTAAGTACCATTAAACGCAATGGGCTTACTTTTAAGGAGACATGCATAGGACATTTCAGGCACTGTTAATCATTTGCCTGAAATCAAGCTTCAAGATTAAACCATGAACCACAGAGTAAAAAAATTGATTATAATATTATAATAGCCTTAGATTATATTAGTAGCATAGCATCATAAAGTCAAAGCTGTATTTTCCTGTGTTTATCTATTGCTAGCATAGTATTAGTACTAGCACTAGTTGAAATTTGCCTCTCATCCTTACATTCGCATATGTAATTTGCCTTAAACGCTATAGATATTGTACAACCTTCCCCAACCACGTGTCTTCCAGATGTTTTAGACTACAAAACCCATAAGTCCCAGCCAGCATTGGCAAATGGTCAGGGATGATGGGAGTTGTGGTCCAAAAGATATGGAGGGCACCAGCAGATGTGGGAAGGCTAATATAGTACATAAGAACAGACTCCTATTCAAAGAAGGAAAAGAATTAAAATTTGTGCTTTAGCTTACCTGAAATGTCTCAGACAAAAATTATTCATCTACTGCTTTATTATATTTGCCTGCTTTTACATGTTTATTCATTTTTTAAACTATATTTAACTTTTATTTTAGGATTGTCAGTCTTTGATTTTAGAAATTGTGGAACCTGAGCTGCATCAGATTCAGAGGCAGGGAGGTGGATTCTGGTGGATTCCAAGATATTTAGAGATTCAAATAACATACCTGGCTTCCCTTTGATGTTTGGGTCTGATGGCCGTTTTGTAATTTATTGTGGTTTGGGGTTTTCCTAATGTCAATACTTTGATCTTGTGATGGGGAGTGAATTGTAACACACACACACACACACACACACACACACACACACTGTGGTGATGTCTGGAATTCTAATGAATCTCTTTGGAAATCAGATGGCATATACTTAAAAAATAATAATAGTGATAACTCCCCCATGGAACAGGCCTGGTAGGCTGACCTGCCCTTCCATTCCAGCATGTGGCAGAGCAGTCATGCAAAGAGGTGGGTGGTGCTCAAAGCTCCTGATGCCACCCACCTGCTCCTGTTTCTTGTGGTTTTCCCACCTCCAGCTGTGCGGAGCCTTAGGAGGACATCTATAGAGGAATCACACATTGGTGCATTTCCCATCATCACCCAAAAGATTTTGACAACTAGCCCAAATGGCTGCTTTTGACACTAAGTCCTGGCAACTGGCCCAGATGGGTTTTCAAAATGTCACTGTGTCAGATCATTCCCCCTTGAACTGCATTCTCACCAGATTGATCTTTATGAATAAGAATATAGAGGAAATGTCTGAGTCCCTAAATACGCCCATAGTCCTAGCTGCAAATAAATGGAGCAGGAAGAGGAGCTGCCAACCTTTGTTTTCTTCCAAGACTGGTTTTAATTAGCCTCAATGATCAAACCGCTTACTCTACAATAATTTCAAGCAGATCCCTGTTGTCTAGGAAGGACTCCAAGCAGGTGTCTGCCAATGATCTTCCCACCACTTGCACAAAAATATGTTCAGAGAAAAATCAGTGGCTATTCCTTAAGCACAGGTGGCACAAGCTGATGGATAATGGTTTGACGATCTCTTCTCAATATGGATGTTTAAATGTTTTCTGCAAGGTTAGGCTTTTCTTTATCACTTTGATGGTTGAAGCACCTCTGCATGTGTAGAGCAGAGCAGAGCAGCCCTCCCCATTTAAGTGATCAAAAAAGACCTTGTGGACCTTGAAGTTCTCATAGCAACAAGATGCCACAAGATCAGGGATCAAGAGATTACATGGAGCTTTAAATCAGAAGAATCATTGGAATGGGAGAATGGGTCCAGGACTATGCAGGAGAACATCAAAGCACCTGAACATAAAATTACTCGTATGTTGTCCATAATATATGACCACTGCCCTCTTAATAGCCACCATTAGCTTCAATATACTTTTTAATTTTCTCTAAGCATTTCTCTCTAGGCTTATCATTGAAGGATACTGCAACTCGCTATAAGTGTCTCTAAAACATTGTTCTTTCCCATTTCTTCCACTGCTCTGCAAACAGTGGAAGATAACTTCAGGAAAGGGGTCTTGGAACCAGCTGCATGGCTGTACCATTCCAAATTCTGCCAAACATTGGGCACTGTGCTCATACCATACAGCAGGAGGGAAGCAAACTGTGGCCCTCTAGATGTTGTTGGACTCACATCAGCCCCAAACAGCATGGCTAACGGTGAAGGAGCTGTAGCTGTAGTCCAATAACATCTGGAAGGCCACAGGTTGCCCGACCCTGCTGTAGAGCAGGATTGGCATTCTCCCAGCATGCAACAGAAGGGTGAGGAGTGAGAGCTACAATGCATGCTGGTGGTATTGATGTGCTGGCTTATGTGCTCTTGGCTGGAGGAGGTGACTTCTCAGCAGTAAAAATATGTGTACGGCAGTGGCACATGAGGGGTGGGGGTGGATTGGCAGCTGCGCCCTCCTGGCAAAGCTGCCCAGTAAGGATGGGGCAGAGTGGCAACAGTGCTGTGCTTGCTTGGATTGTGAAAGGACAAAATGGCAGAGAGGTCAGGGCAGCTCTGGCTGGGCGGCGGCGGTGGTGACTCCACAGGTGCACGCAAACTTGTGTTGTCGCCACCAATTCAGAGCTCTGCTGAGCTCGCCGCCATCTTGCCCCGTCCTGGCAAGCACAGTCCTGTTGCTACTCTGACCCCTCATACATGCTGTTGCTGCATATACGGAAGGAGACAAAAAAATGTGAGGGCTGCCACCCTTGGGAAGCTGGAAGAATCATAAACAAGTATGAGGGTGAATTGAGAAGACTAGAAGCTATGAGGTACCTTCGTGGAGGCTCACCACATGGCAACCACAACAATGTGGGGAGGCAGCAGAGGGAGGGGAATAGTGGGCCAAGTTACACACTAGACGATTATAGGTGCCACATGGTAAACTCAGATGTGGCTACCACATGGTTCCAAGTAACTGGTCAACCTGCCCTGAGGCATTATGTCTTGTGGCAGTACTGTCTCTGGAGGTTTAGGGCCCTGAAGGAAAATACCCTCAATGGAGACTCCCTTATGTGGAAAGAGGTGGCAAATGCACACTGAGATTTTTTTCAATTGTGCCTAATATTCCTAGACTGCACAAAGCGGAAATGGCAGAACTGTTTGAACAGTTGGTCTTGAGGCACTGTCCAACCAGTTTTACCAGCCTCTGGAACCAGCCCTGTCCTACAATGCTCCTGGGACCTTTTTCACAGTCCACCTATTTCTGAGTCAGGTTTGACCTTTGTGACTTCTTAAAAGAAGTTGCCCCATTTGTTTCCGCCATGTTGCAACCTTATGTTTATATGTTATATTTATCGGTGTGCATGTGTAAAAAACAACAACACAATTTCCTCTCTCTTTCTAACATGAGAAAGGAAATATCAGAAATGGCACTCTGGACAACTTCAGCATTCTCTGGAAGTGATGAGAGGAACCATCAGCCCCTTGCATTTCCTCTCCCCTTCCTTCTTGAGGGGGGGGGAGAGACACATATTGGCCTAAAGAAGGGACAGAATGAGCATCTCTCCATGCAAGCTGTATAAATAATCTCTCCTCAGACCAGACCTGGGAGCATGAGGAATGGAAGAATACTCTTCATGCCTTGTCAAGGCTTCGAGAGAACATCTGAAGTGGTCTACGGTTTCCAGGAATTCAGGTACTAAATACAAAAATACTGTGTATATATTAGCATTTCGATGCAAATGGATGATGACAGTTCATTCTGGGCCTTTTAATTTTTTTTTATTTGTTGTGAAACCAAGTTCCTTCATGACTATTTTTTTTTTAATACCATACTCAGTTCACGTTTTATATATTCCGAAACACATCCATTTGGAAATAAATCTAATTCTGTCTGGGCAATCCCATGCATCTTTACCCTTGGAAACAAGTTCTTAGTCTACTTTCAGTTGGCAGGGCCTTCTTAGTGGCAGGCCTATTCCTTCCCAGGGCAGAACTGGTCCCTTGTCCCTTCTGTTTTTAAAGAAGGCATGTTCCCGTCAGCCTGGGTTTGATGAATGTGCTATGCTGAAACTGTTTAGCAGCTGATGGCTTTTAACTTTAATTATTTTTAATTATTTTTATTTAACAGTATCTTTATAAGTTTTAAAATTGTTGCATCTTTATAAGTTTTAAAATCCACTTTGGGAGAACAGCGTGCCCCAAAAGCCATGCCAGAATTAAAAAAAAAAAATCCCACTATGTTCAGTGGAGCTTACTTTCTAGGAAATATATTAGAGCCAAACTACACACAATGTTTAATGCATAGCTTGCCCTTGAGTGCAAACTGCCAGGGCACAGGATTCACTCTGGATGGGCACCCAAATGTGTGTGTGGAGGACAGTAGGGGCTTTAAAAGTTTGCCCCACACAATGGGTCCCAGTCTGAATCAGGAAACCACACCTGCAGCTTGCATTGCCGGGGGAAATCTCCCATTCACTTCAATGGTAGTTTTTATCTTCATGCAAATTGCAAGTGTCGGGGTCCCAATCCAGATCAGGACCACATCTAAAAAAAACCAAAAACCCTACACACATGCCACATGCCAAGGTCCCAATTCAGACCAGGTCCCTCCCCCTTCTCCTTGCTGTCCATGTTTTTTGGAGGGGATGGGGAAGCTGGCACTGAAGCACAAGTTACAAAACATCATGCATATTTTGGCGATTTAACCTGTTGTTTGTATTATAGCTGACGTGTTGCAAAGCATGGCTCCTAACTGTGCAGGTGATGGTTTTTGTTTTGTTAAAAACTGTTATAACCACAGAGCATGAGACGACTTGACCATTTTTGACGATCATTAATTCAGCAAACCTGACTGCAGTATTTTTCCCTTGGACATAAATGCCATCAAAATCAAATCAATGAGGTGAGCTTCTAATCAGGCGCTAAACTCCTTTCATGGGAACCAAGTTCAATGGGCCAACTTCCAATTCACTGGGCTTGTTAGTGCTGATGACTCTAGGCTGTCTTGCCAGGTGGGCAAGAATCACAGGTGAAGAAATTAAGTGGCCAAGCCCAGCACCTATCACAACGCATTACATCTGGCAGCCCATGTTGGGACAGAGCTGCATGGGTGGATAGGAGTTTCTCCCCTTCCAGCTCATGTCTCATGAGAAGGCCAGCAATGTAGTGGTCTCCTGGCTCCAGTCACTGGATTCTATCAGAATCTATGTTGGAACCAAAGGAACACTGGATAGCTGACCTACCTTCCTTGGAAGTGACCTGGGTAGGGTGCAAAACTCTTCCCCAGTATGGGCTTTCTCCATTCAAGAAGCACACTGGATGCAGGAATAGTGGGGTCCCATGCATTTTCTGAACACGCATGGCTTGCAAGGGATGACAATGCTAGATGCCTGGGCTGGGAGGTACAGTGGGCCGTATAATGCTGCTATATGGTCTGCAGGTCAGTTACATAGCAGAGACACAATGTGGGCAGATTTCTGTCAGCAGGCTGTTCCTTGGGGATTCTCTGTCGCCATCAGTGGCAAGACACACTAGCACAATTTGAATTTGTGCATGTACCTGTGCGAGAAAGGACGCATTTGCTTACCATGGGTCCGGGACCAGGATCAGCTGCTTTGGACACGTCATATTGAGCAGCAAAGTTCTGTAGGAGTTAAAGAGGAAAGCTAATAAAGAAGAGCTTGATCAGAATTTAAATAATATACGCTAATCCAAAATGAAAATGAATGCAGGGTAACAAATTTGCATTCCTACATCTCAAGTCCTTCGTGCTTGTTTTTTAAACAACAGCAACATCACAAATAAGAGGTTGAGTGAAGGGAGACAGAAGGAATCAAAGTAAAATGGAAAAAGTTCCTTCCTTCCGTAAATGTTTATGTATCTTCAAGGATGTTCCTACCTATGGATCTCAACAATATTTCTATACATGCCTGAGAAGATACAGCTAAAGATAATGGTCCCTGCCTTTGACGTGACAGGCCTTTTATGATGCTTCAAGACATCACCAATCAACTTCAGTAAAATAAAACATTGGATGCCTTACTCCGCCAAGACCAGGAGGACCAGGGGGGCCTGGGGGGCCTGGTGGACCATCTTCACCATCTCTGCCTGGTGGACCTGCTGGACCCTATGGGGAAAAATGCACAACGTTAAGTTATAAAAATATATAAATAGCTACTGAAGATTTCAAAGCAGTGACATCATTTAAAGTACAAATATATGAGTCTGCACAATCGAAACAGCTGGTGTTTCTGTACTTTACCACTTAAATGTGTCACTGTTGCTTTCAGACAACTAGAAGATTTAGTTGTGTGATCCTATGCATGTACGTATATTCATATTTGCAGGCAGGAGAGAATAGAATTGCAGCCTTAACATAGGAATGAGGAACCTGAAGCTCTCCAGATGTTAGAATCATAGTGTTGGAAGGTACCCTGAGGGTCACCCAGTCTAATCCCCTGCAATGCAGGAATCTCAACAAGCAGTCTCCCATCCAGTTTGAAACCATACCAGACCCTGCTTAGCTTTGCAAACGTTAAAGCAGTTTTATTGCTTGTTGTGTTGAGGGATAATAAATCCCATCATGGCTGACCATTGGCCATGAAGGCTGGAGTTGATGGGAGTTGGGAGTCCAGCAACATCTGGAGAGCCACAGCTTTCTCATCATGGGCATAACATGTGGAAAAGGCTGAGCACCTTAACATTTTGTTGGCATATTAATGCTAGGACTTACTGGGTGACAGTCAATTAAGTTTTACTCAAAAAGAGGTCCATTAAAATTAATGGATATAAGTTAGGTCCATTAATTTCAATGGATCTACTCTGAGAAAAAATTAGCAGAATACCATCCATTCACATTTTTTAATGTCTTTAAAAACTTCAATAATGCATTGATTTGAGGCTTGATAAGGATTCTAGCCACACATTGTTAGAGAAGGTTGTTCCTTGTGAGCTATCATACAAAGATTGTGCTAGGGAAGACCTTGCCATGCTAGGATAATTATATCGTAGTAACCTTTTAACTGCCTTTAAATGAGTACATGTTCTAACTCCATGTTATCTGCTGTTTGGCTTTGGAGAGGTCCAAACAAGTTAATTACTTTCCTGATTTCACTTAACTGTTGCTTGTGCCCCATTTGGTTGAGCAAGTGTGTTTGCAAAGACAATAATCACAATGATTTTCATATATAAGAATGGAGACAAATTTGTTTGCACAAGCCTTAACTCTGAGACTGATGTTCTTAAATGGTATAAATCTCAGCAGAACAAACAGTCATGCTAATTCCCATTAGTTGAGTAATATAGTTCCAGACTATATTAGTTGAATGAAAAGAAACATATCAAAGCATTATAACTCAATGCACTCTCTGTTTCATGGTTTTTCAACCATCCCATTTTGCTACAACTGCCAAAGATTGCACTTATCAATTCTGTGCTAATCAAAACACTGCAAATTCTGTGTTTAGCTGTGGATAAAAAGGTCAATTTTTACTAAGCCTATTCAGAGTCTAAGGGTATTATTCCAAATAACAACAAGCATTCCAAATATCACTGATGTGATTTAAATAATAATAATTGTGGCTCACATGTTAATCAGATGACCCAACATCTATTCTAGTAACAAGAGGCTAGACTGGGATGGACTCAAAGTCAGAATCTTTCCTAAACTGGTTCTGAGTCATCAGATATTTCATGATGTATGGCAGATACTTCTTTATCAAGTATCCATCTACAGACTCTTGGATTCAAGGTGGCCTCCGACACAATAGTAAAGGAATCTTCATGTCTTAATAACTTAAAGCATGAAATATTCTGAACAACTCAGAATGTAGCCATATCTGCAGTGACCATTTTCAAACAAGCTGGGGTGCATCTCACACAGCACAGACGATTTCAGGCTAAAGGCTTGGTTCCTTAGCACACTGTTAGTCCTAAATTAGGCCTCCAACCACCAAGTCAAATCCAGCACACAAGCTGTTTATGGCAACTACCAGGTTTTGGCTACCTAAGCTAGGCCTTCAAAACTTAGGAAGGAGGGAGCTCTTGTCAGGCACCTGGGAGCTCCTTAATAACACAATACTGTGATCGGCATGGTGGGTCACAAATTGTTTGGGTTTAAACATGCTAAATATTGAACAGCAACCGTTACTTCATTCTAAGCTACTACCGAGGGAAGAACAAATCTTGAAGCAATTCTTGGAGGCCCAATTTTTGGCAGGGATGCTGTCAGGGAAAGACTTTGAGGGCAAAAATCCAGGGCCCCACTCAGAAGAGAAGGACCACCTTCCCTGACATATTAGGGGTCAAGCAGCACATTTTTAAGTGAAAGAAGCAAGACACTTTGGGGAGCCCCTCCTCCCTGTAAGACTATTAAATCCAGAATCTAAAGCTACTTAATTGCACAAGCAATAAGTAATATATTACCAAATTGCCCTCATAGTGCTTCACATTTTTCAAGGTAGCAAACACATGTTTTCCAATTAATTTGTTCACTGGGCGGGGTGGGTGGGAGTAATAGGATCAACTCTGGCTCCCTGACACATTGTCAACTTCATCTGCTACACCTGCGCGCGTGCGCGCACACACACACACACGTAAAGTGGACTCTGGTTACTGAGCAACTGCACCTCTGAGGCCTCAGCCATGCACATTCCTTGACCTCTGTGTCAGAAATCCCACAGGCAATTCCAACCCAACGGATCAATCTCTGAACACAACCTGCTTTCCCCCTCTTCCTTCCTCTGAACCCTGAAGAAGCATTGCACCCAATATTACAGGGAGGGGAAATCAGGTCGCATCACCTGTGCAATGAATGAGTCAAATGGTTCTTCAGAGAGATCCTTGTGAGGGAATCGGAGAGGAAAAACAGCACTGCTGTGTCGGACAATGTGCTTGCATCAATGCACAAGCAGCGGGCAGGGGAATAAGCATAGGAGCTCAGGATTGTGACCTCAATTTCCATTCTTGATTTTATAAGGTTCTGACTCAAGTGATTTTGCTGGTGGATGTTATTTATTCACATAGGAATTCCAGAGCCATGAGCCTTTGCTAATCATACTGTGGTTTTATGATTGCTTTTTTTTGAAAAGCTATTACCTGCAAATCAGTCTTAAGACACTTCAATGGGAATAATAACCACTTCAGCCCTTTGCAATAGACCTTTTGAGGCATTCAGTAACACTCTGTCCAAATTCTGGCCTTACCTAAAGCCACACAGCCCTCCTGACCCTTTCCAAATAGTGCCCATAGCACTTTCCCCCCAAATAGATGTGTTCAGTTGTACACAGTGCAGCCTCATTTATATGAATTTTCTCAGAAGATGCACACAAAAATAGTCATAACTCTGAACAAGGGTTGGTGGGGGGTGGTACCACAGGTTTTTCGCTTTGGACCATGCTCTTCCTTATTCACCAGGGCATGATTTAGACATAACAAGCAAAATGAACATAATCATGGTTCTTTACCCTATCTCCTCGTGGCCCTTTTTCTCCTCTGGGCCCCTGAAAAAGAACAACATCAACAAAAATGTAAATGAGTGTTTCAAGCAATCGTTTTACGTGCAGAAAGCTATGGTGTTAAAAAGAACTGTCTGCTGATGAAAAAAGCAAAACTAGAGCATAGGTAGAACTGAAAGGAATTCAGAGATTGAACACACTCTTGCTTTCAATGAAAACCAAGAGGACAAATATGCATAAATAAAAATGTACTATCAATTAGTTCTTCATTAAGTGACAAGCATTCATTTATTTTCACATTTGAGCTGCAATCCTATTCCAACTTTCCTCAGAGGAAATCCAAATGGAGTTTATGCCTGAGTAGGATTGTGCTGCTAATCTCCAAACCAAACGCGTTTCCTCACAAATATTTAGTAATCTGCAACATGATCTGACATCCATAAAATCAGAGAGTCTCAAGAAGGCTATTTTTCCTGTGCATACCAGATCAGCTTTCATGCTGATAAAATTATGGCTTCAACCCACTTACACATAAATCCTAAACACAGCATCTAAAGCCGCAAAAATTCAGTTAAATTTACTGAGCTGTATCCAAGTCCTACTCTTGAGTAGGCCTGCAGAAATTAATGGAAGCTACTAATTTAGGTCCATTCATTTCTAGGAGACTACTCTGAATAAAACTTAATTGGATTTTCACCTAAGGTTCACAGTTACTTTGGAGTAAGCCCCAGGGAATTTAGTGCAATTAGCATCCAAATAGAGGTATAAAAGAAAAACTGCCAGTGTACTACTAAGCATCTCAGTTGTGTTCAAAAGCAAATTCACCTGAAATTAATAGCATTTACTCCGAAGTTCAGGTTTTCACTTTGGATTTTCCTGACAGTAAAAAGGACCTCTGCTTAGTAAGCCCCACTAACTTCTAAAGGCCTTTCTACCACGAAATGAGGTATTAAATTGCAGCCTTTCAAAAATCCTATTTTCAGCATTTCTGGGTTCTTTAAAACTGTAGCAGATACCCAGGAACAGAGTACAGCTCCGTAATTCTTAAGAAAATCCCTTAAAATGTGCTTACCCTCCGTCCTTCCGTTTCCTAGAAAGGAATGAATATGAAGTTAGAAGAAATCTAACGTTAGCAATATTTCACGGTAAGTACTAGACTCAGCCAAGTTAAGGCAGAGCAAATTAAACAAGCGGTGGAGGGTAGGGAAAGAGTTATACAAGTTAGTATTTGCTACATCATGCAAGCACAATATTAAAAAGTCATACCTGAATTCATTCATGCTTTACGGGTGCTAAGATGTCTTTAACAGTTCTCTGGCTTTAAAATAGACTTATGAATCTCCAGAATAGCTGTGCATGCAAGACCCTTCTGGCTACTGTGCAATATCCTCTTAATCTTACATTCACCTATGAAGGTAGCCTTTTAACAAGAAGGACGGCCCATTAGGAAACTAGGGGTGGGCACAAATCTGGGCATTCCTAATGATGCTAATCTGCAGTGGTATTGCCCATGCAATTCTTGGCAGCTGCAGTTAGTAAGTGGCCATTCAGGGGGGTGGAGGTAGGGAGATAATAAAATAGCCCACTCTTGTCCATTTTATTTTGAAAGGAATGATACTGACCTCATTTACATCTGGAGGGGGAAACAGAAAAACAACAAAAAAATTGGTTAATGTTTAAGATTCAAAACAGTCTGCATGTGAAACAATGTACTGTATTTTTCCATGTATAAGATGCCCCCATGTAAAAAAGGGGCCCCCAATTTTTGGGGATTCCAAATTGAGAAAATGGGGGGAGATTGTATCCGTGTATAAGACAACCCACAATTCTGAACATCATTTTTTAATTTAAAAAACCTAGTCTTATACACGGAAAAGTACGATAGTTGTGATTTCAAAGACGAATGGCAGGAAATGTAAACATGAAACGACATTTTTTAAAGTGGATGACATTCTGATTGCTGCAACACATCTCTGACAGAAGGAGGGCCTGTCCAACTTGGAAAGGCTTTTTTCTGAGCCCAAGGCTTTTATAAGAATCAGAACTTGGTTCTACAGGGCCACGGGTGAAACGCTCAATGTGCCATGGGGATTTTTCTTGCCCCCACTGATGTCTGTTACACACACCAAAGAAATGTGACCCCAGAAGGAGAGGGCCTCCTGCAGAGCAAGATCTCGTAGGATGTGAGATAAAGGGAAACAGACAAAACCCCCCAAGCACGCACAAATGTGCTTTCTGCTGATGTAAGAGGCTCCGTGGACCACACAACATTTCCCCTTGAAAATGTTTGCAACGGCAGCTTTTGAAAGTGTGCAGGTGCTATAGAAAGCCCAAAACAGTGAGTTGAGCTTTTGAACTTGAGATGATTCAAGCCGAGGTCGTCCATATTCTTGTAAATAACATTAACCTAAACTTAGGACCCACTATTCCTTCACATCGTTTCAGATTATGGGAATTCCTTGAACAGGATTATGCTGAAGATTTGTATAGGATTTTCTGGAATTCAGAAGTTAAGTTAGCAACCCCCCCAACCCTCTCTTTCACGCTATTTAGGCTACAGTCCTAAACCCACATACCAAAGAGTAAGCCCCACTGTGCTGATTGAGATTCGGTTCTGAGAAGGCATGTCTGGGATGGCACTGTTATTCTGCTAAACTTTAAGCCGGGAAATAGCCATACTTCAAAATAGCTTAACGGGTGGAATCCCAGGATCTGACAAAGCCAAGCTACTTAGGTCTGTATACCCAAGGGGAATTCGGCCTTTCATTATTGTATGTATTATTATTATTATTACATTTATGTCCCATCTTTCCTCCAAGGAGCTCTAGGAAGCATACAGGGTTTCCCCCTCCAATTTTACAACAACCCTATGAGGCAGGTTATGCCGAGAGAGCGAGAGCGCACAACTTGGGTTTCTCAAATAGCAACCCTCCATGTGCGTTGTGGTGTGGCTTGTGGGAGGGGCCTGCTGTTCCAAGAAAAGATCAAAAATTCCACTGGGGGTGGGGAGGGCATACCAAAAGCAGCTTTGGGAATCCTAGGAATAGTACTGTAACTTTTATTACAGTTTTCTAACATAGCCCACATTTTGTGCATTGGACATTCTTATTTTAAAAACAAATGAACAATTGTCCTGTTAAGCATTTCCTTCCTGCCAATGGAGCACAAAGAGCAAAGCCTGTCACTCCGAGACAGAGATGGGGAACCTGTGGGCCCTTCAGATACTGGTGGACTCCAACTCCCATCAGCTCCGGCCAGCACGGCCAATGATCAGGGGAATGATGTACTTTGCAGTCCAACAACCATCTGGAGGACCACAGCCTCCCCACCCTTGCTCTAAGGGCACAGGGAATTATGCTCCATTAGTTCCTGCTCCCCTGCTTGCTGTGAGTTGCATCTGGAATGCTGCATATTACAGGAGGAGGAGGAGAAATGTTCTGTCTGAGCAGCAGAGCAAAAAAGGAGTCACGGCTATGTACCTCCTCTCTGCAAGTCAGAGCCTCCAGAAGCTTTACTTACAGATTAGTACAAAAATGGGGAGGAAACGGTATCAATCAGTCTGCACATATGCATTCATGTGCCATGGAGGAATTTTGAGTGGCAATTTGGAAAAGCTGCTCACCCAGAGAGAATTGTTCCATGATCAGAGTAGCTAAATGCAAAAGTTTGCTTAAGGAGTGAAAATCTACAGCATAGAGCGCACTATGCTATTCTCTGGAGGTCAAGTCCAATTGTGTTCAATAAACACAATGTTTAGGATGGCAGCTCTAAATGTATATCTTAGACCATTGGTTGGATGAGAAACCTTGACTATCTCTTCTTAATATCTCAAGGAAATAATCATTGTTTAAACATTTTAAGAGTAACATCGGTACAGAATAACAAAGTTGATACTGATATGAATGGGGATTCTGATAGGAAACTGGATTAGGGTGGAAATGACTAATTTTGTAATTATCAAAAGCATTTCGATAATGGTTCCTATAAGGTGATGGAATAAAGTTAGACATTCTTTTTGACATGGTACTGGAACTTGTAAATGGAACTTGCTAGGTGGGCTTATTGATGGATTAGCTGTGGAGATCTATATTTTGGGAGAGTATCTCTAAATGTTAACTGGGTTGGGGAACCCGTTCTCTCTCACTGCCACTAAAGGGAGAGGCTCTAGTCGCAGTTGTAGGATTGGTAAAGAGTTGAACGCAACTGTAAAGACAGCTGTGTTCCTAAATTAATTTTGGCGAATGCTCAGTCATTAATTGCAATAACCCTAGGAGGACCCCTGGCTGCCAACTTGTTCCATTGAATCCAGTTATGTATTGGGCAGCAGGGCCAATGCTTCTGTTATAGGACAGCACTTGCCATATGCAATGTACAAAGGACCACAGGCGTTTCTGATGCATGGATGTGCGGCACGAGCCAGTGTGAAGGCTGTACCTTGCACATATTTAAACCACAGAGAACTGGTATGGTAGTGATGCTTGGGCTGGACACTTTCCATTTGTGCAGCATGAAAAGTTCTGAGTTAAGCAGAACTCTTTTTGTCAGTCAGATATAAAGCTAAAGATTGCCTGCTCTATGCCAAACGATCATCACTAGTGTGGTGCACTTGTTAGCAAGTCTGGCTAGGGTATAGAAAGCCCAAGTTTAAATCCACACTCAGGTTGTGAAACAAATTGTGGCCTTGGGGAAAGGGCCACCTCTCAGCTGAGCCTACCTCACAGGGTTCTTGTGAGGGTAAAACACCACTCTGATCTTACATTGGGGTACCAATGCAATAAATATCTATTTGATGGGACTAACCTGGCAACAGCTGTCTGTGCCAAGTTTCACTATTTAACATTATTCACATGGGGGCCTACAGATAATCTAAGGTAATAGAATTTACGTGAATTACCTGACAAGTGTGGAAATCATAAAAATAGATGAATTTTCTGGGGAGAAACTTTCTACTTCTCATCTACCAGAAGAGGTCGCTAGAGCTTTTTAAAAAGGGTATGTTTGGAGGATGTCTGGAATATCCATTTCGTCATATTTGTTTCTCAAACAAAAAGGTCAGGAATCGTACACTTTTCCTGGTTTGCTGTAGTTTTCTAAAAGCGTGTCTCCTTCCCTTCCCGGAATTAATAAGAGCAAAACATTCTTGAGCAAATCGCGACAGAATTTCTGCCCTCTCTCTCCTTGCGTGTAATTCAGGAGTAACTAAATTGTCTCATATATATCAAGCGCTTGGTGGTCTATCTGGACTCCACACGCTCCACGTCGGGTCCTCTGCGCTACCGCCTCCTTCCCTCTAGAGGGCGCATTATGAGCATCCGTAAAACGCTGCACAAAGCTCGTGTACAACGCCCTAAAAAGCGACTGTTCTCAAAGACTTTGGGGGAATCTGTTGTTTTCTGAAATCCCTTGATAAATCGGGACAATAACTCGTCCCCAGCCCCAAACCACTAGAAGTTCTCCAAGGAGGCGATGCTGATAAATTTAGGAGTTCTGGATTTATCATTGTCATGCATTGCTTCTCCAACCCCAATTTTGCTTTTCTCTTAAAATGGGGGGGCGGGCGGAGTATGGGGAAGGGGAGAGAGAGGTGCGTGGGTGTGTGGGAGAAAAGACTGCTTGGCTTCTTGCCAGGACCTCTCCACATGAGCCAAGGAGGGCTGGGAGGGGGCGAGTTTAAGCAAGCTCTAAAGAACTCTCATCCCTTCACTCCGTCTTATGGAAATAAGAGACAGCTCTTTTGCCAGCTGGAGTCAATGCAAACTACGATTCCCCCCCAAACTCAGTCTAACTGGATGGGGCTTCCCGGGGGGGGGGGGGTAGAGTTATAGTGGGCAGCAGTTTCTCGGGCTTTGGAGCATACCCAGATCTGCACGAAAACTTGTCCTTGCAGCTCCCGGAGAAAGGAAGCATTCGACGGCAGGGCAACATTCCTTAGGACGAAGTTAGGAGAGGATTCCGCCGCCGCCGCCCAAATCCCTCTCTCCCCACCAAACCCTGCTCCAAACAATCTGAAGGCACTTACATTGACTGGTTGCTAGGCATGAAGTTACTGCGAGCAGCAACAAAATCCGTGTATCCACAAAGCTGAGCATGTCTACTGTCTAGACATGCAGACTCCTTGTGTTTCAGAGTCCCCGGGTCGGTGGTGAGCTAGAACTTTAGGGACGCAGGCATACAGTCGTGGTGGCGAGTAACTCCAAACTTAGCAGAAACCTGCTGCCCGGGATGCTAAAATAATAAAGCCCTCGACGGCCCTATTTATACGGCGAGGGGGTTCCTCGCGCTGGCCGAGCCGTAGAACGCGCCGCAGCCAATGGGAGAGCCCGCCGTGCTCGGCGGAGGGGCGGGCCAGGCTGCGAGGAGCCCGGGCCTGCGTCACGTGACGTCTTTTTCTTTTCTTCTTCTTCTCATTCCCAACCTGTCCCCGCCGTTTTGGCAGAGCTGCTGTTAGACGGGGCGGGGAGAGGGAGATCTGGAAGCGAGGAAGGGAGAGAAGAGGAAGGCGCAAGGGGGAGGGAGGAGGGGTGAAAGAGGTGGGGTGCTGGGAGGGAGGCAGGCAGGAGCTGGGGATGCTAAATTGGTTCCATTCTTTTTGAGGACGTGGACACTTTGAGGCTTTATAAAGGAAAATCTGACTGGCTGCCTGGATTCTTTTTCTTCCTCCCCACCCCCCCCGTCCCTCACACCCCATTTCTCCACCCCTCCCCCTTTTCTTTTGTGGTTTGCGCGCTTGGGAGGCTTTCGGCGTCGCAGGGCGAGGCTTTCAAAGCGGGAGCTGTCCAGGTCCTGCCATCGAGGTAAAGGAGGCGAGAGCAGGCAGAAGGACACGCCGACGGGGAAGCATCGGAAACCTGGAGCGACCTGGAGGCTCCCTTGGTTTTGACAGCCAGCCACCCACCCCTCCGCCTCGCAGATCGCGCTGTGCTCTGGGGAAGGGACGTGGCTCCGCGGTGGGGCGCCTGCCTTGCGCGGAAAAGGTCCCATGTTCATTCTAGCGTTTCCAGACGCCCCGCCTGAAATCCTGGAGAGCCGCTGCCGGTCCGTGTAGACGCTACTGAGCCAGGTGGAGCCCATGCTCCGATATGGCACTTTCCCCTATGTGACTGACTCCTCAGAAAGCAGAGCGAGCCAAAACAAAAACAAAACCCCCCAGACTTCCTTTCCAGGCGACCCCATCCCTCGCTTCCTCTGGAGCAGTCCTCTGGAATGGGGCTACTCTGGAGTAAATGAGCTTTGGGTGGCAGGTGGGAAAGGGGGGAGCTGTTTGACCCCCTCTGAACCTGCGTGGTAAGACCACAGGGAGCCCGTCGGAGGAAGACGAAACACACAGCTCGTCATCTTGCCCAGACTTTTTGCCTGTCCAACCCTATAGACCAAGCCTAGGGCATTGCCTCGTAAAGCAGCTCCAGAATCGCCCCAAGGTGAAGTATAATTCCGCCCCTCTTTCAACTTGGGGGATGAGCTTCCCACTTCCTTGACAGCCACAAACATCTCTATCTCTATATACAAGTGCTACAAGTTCTCCCAACGTTCTTCTCTGTGAATCCCATTGGTTTCGCCCGTCTCTGTCCTCTCTGGCTGCGTTGATTCTCAATTCCCCTTTCCTGGATAAGACCCTGAAAAAGAGTACTAGCAGTCGTCCATTGCCACCACCCCCCCACCTGCCAACAAAAAGCCCTAATCTCGTTTAGCTTCAACCGAAAGAGAGCGAGAGGCGGGGTAGGTGTTGCTCTATGCTCCCATTTTACAGACAAGGAACCTGAGGCTGAGGAACAGTGACGTTGCAGTGCAAGGAGCTGCTCTGCCGGGACTGCATCGCCCCCCGCCGCCCCCCAACCTCCACAAGGTGAAGGGAGGCTTGCCAGAGTCTTGAAGGCCCCTTCCTTTCTCCCACAGTCCGTTGCTCAGCCCCATTGGTTCCAGAAGGGACCTTGCTTCCAAGAAAGCATGCTTAGGATTTCAAGTCAATCTTGGAGTGCGGGGAGGGGGGGCCCGATTCGGTGGGGTGTCGCCGCCCATCGTCCCATCCGCGGCTGTCCTGATTTTCCCAGCTCCTTCCCTTCCCCCCTTCCCCTTCTCTTCTGCGGTGGCTGACGTGGTCACTCCTTCTTGCCAAGCCTGCTTCTATCTTCGGGGGGGGGGGGGAGGTGGTGTCTCTTCCTTCTCGTCCCTCCCTCGGAGCGGCAACCGCTTTGGCATGTCAAAGGTGGGGGAGATGGCCGAGCCACCTCAAGGAAGAAAGATTTCCCTTCCCCAAGATTCTGACGCAGGAGCCTATCCCAGCTCCTTCTCTGCGCCTCCACCCCGCCCACCAGCACCAAAAGGATGGGGGGGGGGAGAGAAAGAGAGAGAGAAAGGAGCCTGCAGGCTGAAGTTCCTCCCCTCTTTTTTTGTTGCGAGGCAAAAGGAATTCTTGCCGGGTCCCACCAGCCAGCAGCAACAAGTTAAGAGACTTAGAAGCAGCTGGAGCAGCTGGAAGGTGGGGAATGGGATTCCTTGATCACATCAGAGTTTAGTCTTGGGACCTGAGAAGCAATGGCAAAGGTTCCTGAGTGTTCCTGAGCATGTGCAGAGCAGCAGAGACTGCTCCACCAATGCCACCCAACCCACCACCTGCCTGCCTGCCTTCTTGCTTGCTTGCAGCAGTCAGTCCAGAGGCATAGCTGTCAACGTTTCCCTTTTTTAAAGGGAAATTCCCTTATTCTGAATAGGATTCCTCGCAAGAAAAGGGAGAAGTTGACAACAATGTCCAGAGGCTGGCCCTGCCTGCCAGCTGCCTCCTCCCTGGTCTCCATGACTGGCCAGATCCATAATACATGTTCAAAACGCTGTGATACCACTTTGACAGTCATTGCACAAGTCCTGAAGAATTCTGGGTGCTGCAGTTTGTCAAGGGCGCTGGGGGGTTGTGAGGAGACTCCCTCTTCCCCTCACAATCCTCAGGTGGGTTTCACAGTTAATCCCTCTTACCTAGAGACTCTGGGAACTGGAGCTCTGTGAGGGGAAGGGGGGCGGTTTTCTGAAAACTCTCAGCACCCATGACAAACAGATTATTTGGGGGAGGCTGGCTTTAATGTATGGTGCGGTAGAAATCACAACCTGAGTTCGAGTTCTTCCTCCAGTCAGAGCCAGTACACTTGTTGATAAACCCAGAGAGCCACTACCAGTCAGTGTAGAAAGGAATGAACTAGGTGGAGCCATGCTCTGGCATACAATATATTTGTTGCACGCCACCCCACTCTCATAGCCGTGTGCAATTCCAGTTGTCCCGGGTTTCAGTTTTCTTTGAACGAGGGACAGTTCATTTACACATATATACAGTGGTACCTCTGGATGCGAATGGGATCCGTTCCGGAGCCCCGTTCGCATCCTGAAGCGAATGCAACCCGTGTCTGCGTGTGCGCGGGTCGTGATTCACCGCTTCTGCACATGTGCATGACGTAATTTTGAGCGTCTGCGCATGCGCGAGCGGCGAAACCCGGAAGTAATGCATTCCGTTACTTCCGGGTCGCCACAGAGCCCAACCCGAAAATGCTCAACCTGAAGCAAATTTAACCCAAGGTATGACTGTACAACCTGAGCCTACGACTGAGGAGCTCACAGAACTAACAGCCCAGAAGGCATTGCTTCTGCCATCATCACAACCTTGGAATCAAATGGAAATGAAACGTCTGTCACAGATGCTTTAGCTGAGATTCCTGAATTGTACTAGATGAGTCTTGGGGTCACTTCCAACTCTACAATTCTATGATTCTATGGCTCTCACCCTCTTGTTCCTGCCAGTGTCCAGCCTGGCTCTCACACACCACTTTCGTTCTTACTCCCAGTCAGGTGAGGCCCACCTATTTTCCTTCTGGCACAGAGCAACCTTCTTACTTAGGCCCATTAACTCACCAGGAAGTTGGCCTGGCTACTTCGATAATTGAATCCCCATTAGAATTAGAAGGCACTCGGACAATATACCAACCAATCCCCAAAACTCACAACAATATATATAAGGCACCTTCCTATGTTCCTTCCCTTCCCAGAGCTGCTTCGTGAGGCAAAGGGCAAGATGGCGCCCGCACCATTCCATATATCAAAGCTGACCCAAACGCTAGCTGGATCTTCCTTCTGTATGGGCAACAGACCCACACCTGAAGGCAGAAGGCTAACTTAGTGGGGTGGAGGGCAGGCCACATAGTGGTATACACAGCTCTCTTATCCACCTCATCACTGTGCCTGCCCCAACCCAGCACCTGCCACCTAAGCCACCTGCTTCACTTTGCCCAATGGCAGGGCTGGCTGGGCTGCCCTGGCTGTTCCCTTCCTTGTTTCAGTCCAAAAAAAAGCAAATTAGCTTGCTGATTAACTTTTCACACAGTTGCAACAGGGACATATCTGTAAAGTATCAGCTTTCTTACATAGTTTGCTGAACTTTTCTGTTAAGTTGTCTTTCTCATTTCTTTTCTCTCATCCTGTTTTCAAACATTAGTAACAAGAGGGAGATCTTCCTTCCTCTGAAGCCCTACTCACCGAAGTATACGAGAAACCTTATTAAAGCTGTTCCAGAATAAAATAGCATGCAATTTGCTCAGTAGGGGGAAAGACCCTCAGTAGCTTTTGAGATTAAATTCCACTTAATTTCCTTCCTGTGCAATAAACCATGCACTGCTATGAACACCGTCTATGACATGTCCTTACCTGCATCACCGCTTGGGCTTCAAACAGTAGCAGTGCATTTTGCAAAAGCATGGGAATGAGCTACTTTGTCTTCCAATTACCTGATAATTAATTGGTCTAATTGGGAATGCCTGCTGTTTTGTTCTCTTTTAACACTTCATAATTTTTTATTGATCATAAACTACTTATACATACAAAAATAGACATTATTCAAACACTATTTGCTCTAGATTATATATGCAAACAAAGTTGCAGCATTAAAACATAACACTTGTTTAATCACACCAACAGAACTATAGTACATTTTTATCACACTTCACAGCAATAAAATAATCTACATATTTCTGGAAAGAGAAACTTAGACAAAGCTATAGAAAACTGCAAGCCAATTTCTATGTAAGCAGCTATACATAAGACAAGTAGGACAACTGAACTGATTTCTAGGAATAACCCCAAGAGTAAAGATATACAAACATTTCACTGCTGAAAACATGTACTTCTGTTAATTAACATAGGAAATCTGCAGGGTAAACTGTTGGAGAATTGCACCTGATTAGACCTGAATTAAGGCAGGGCTCACCAATCTTTTGGAGGGCAAGTAAACACGTTTGGAATTTGCTGCTTTGCATTTCCAGCACATATTGCTGGCTGCAGTGCAAATATGATGAAACCTTGTGGATCTTAAGTCCCAATGAAAAATGAACTTGTAGAAGCTTTCCTTTAAATTTGTGCTAAATGTTTGTTGAGGGACATTTTGCCATCCTGTTCATTTTGTTTCATGCACAGTTCCTTCTTACAGGGGGAGCTGGAAACACTGTCTGGGGCTTGGAACAAACAGATCTTAACTAGGGCACATAATCCCACTTCTCCTTCCTGTCTGCAAGTGGGGAAAGGAAGGTGGGAGATGGGCCTATGATGTGTATGGACAACTGCTCCCTTCCTGTCTATTGAGAGACCTTAAGCTCACTTGGAGCACCAGAGATAATGAGCAGGCAGGTTCTGGTAGGAAGAGTTGGTTGTGAGGACGTGGGCTTAATCAGAAGATGACTTCTAGTATGCCAGCAGGAATCTCAGACAAGCTTTCATCCTGGCTCCTTTGGGATGTGGTAGAACTGGCAGCTATGTAATGTTAATATTCCAGCCATAAACTATGATAAAATGAAATTAAGGTTCAGACAGCACAACAGTATTTGAATAAATGAACAACAACAACAACAAACCCATCAGGAAGGTGCAATTATTTCTAAACTGTTGTTCCATCAAGCTTTTGGATTTGTATGGTAAGTATTTGTGCTAACTGCTGCTGTTAAAGATGTGTTTTTTTATGAACTGCTGTTAGATTTTATGTTGTGGTTGATTGTATTGTGGGTTTCAGTACTTTGTTTTGGACTGTAATGGTTGTTAGGCACCTCGTGGATTTTTTTCAAATGGAAAGGTAAGATAGAAAATATTTTTCATGGTTACTCAATGCAGTGCCTTCTAGATTTCGTTAGATTACAACTCCCATCAACCTCAGCCAGTATAGCCAATGGTCAGGGATGAGGGGAATTGTGGTTCAACAACATCTGGAGAGACCATCTTGGATATCCCTAGTTGAAGTAAATACATATTTGTAAGTTTTCAGGAGCCAGCGTAGGCTGGCAGACGGAATGACTTACTTAGGATTTTGAGCTATCAATGACCAGTATCTCATCATGTGTAGAATGGAGAAAACAACGTCCCCTTTCATTGTTTTGCTCTACAGGTGGATGAATCAAGAGACCACTGCTGTATGCCCTTGGCTTAGTGGCAAGGAAGATCAGGCTTCCCCTACTTGATATCCTCCAGATGTTATTAGACTACAGTTCCCATAATCTGTGAGTGTTGACCATGCTGGCTGATGCTGATGGTACTTGGAATCTGATAACACACAGAGGACACCATGTTGAGGGAAATGAAACCAATAATGAAATATCAGGAAATGTGCTCCGGAAACAGTGAAAATAACACCCACCCAAAGAGACTGTGTGGTACATAGCGCACAAGCAAATCAAGAGTCTATTATTCTGGGCTTCTCCGCATAGGAAGCTGCCTTATATCAAGTCAAACCAGACACCTAAAAGACAACAGGGAGGACACAAGGTGCACATCCCTAGGTGCACAATGCTAGCACCA